TTCTCATCTACGATCCTAAAAAAAGCATAGAAGAGGAGAAAACCTGCTCTTAAATAAAACTGTGCATTATTTTTGTTTATTTGTTGTTGTTTTTATTTTTACTTTTTTTACTCGTCGTTTGTCGCACATTTTGTATTTTATTTTTATAGCCTTTAGTTGTTTTTTTATGCTGAAATATTCATGAGTTACGTTTTCAGTAAATGAAAAACATTTATTGGGGATTTATCGTACAGTCTCTCGCCGGACCCATGAATACCTAATAATTTATAGTTTTGGCCTTTCCGCTATATCTACATACAAACACTGGACATGGGTGCCTGACAATATTTACGGGCAATAAATGAATAGAAAAATTGATATTTTTTCAAAATACATTCAACATTGGAGTCGTCGAAAGAGTTGAAAATCACTTGGGGTAGAAATGATATGCCCAAAGAAGATGTCGATATGAATCTATAGTAATAAATATTATGAAGTTTGTATTCAGAAGAGTTGATTAACTTAAAGTTGATGAAAATGATTAAAAATTGTTAACAAATATTTTACAACAGATGCAAGAAGGCTCTAGAGCTAGGAAGGAAGAGCACAAATAAAAAAATAGCATATTGATGGTTTTAACATAGCTCAGAATAATTTAAACAATATTTTTAACAGTGTAAGTTAATTAAACAGCCAAAAAAACACTTAAAGCAAAGAAAAAAATTATATGAAAATATATAAATTAATTATAAAACTAGGTTATATGTATACAGCAATCAAAAAAAAAAAATATATATATATATATATACTAATAAAAATGCAACAATAAAGAAACAATGTTTAAGCAGATAAAGACAGAAATCCATAATAATAAAGATACAAAATTCTTCTTTGCACATAAAAGATAAATGTACTCGAACTTCTCTATAATCACGATCAACAAAGAGATGAAAAAAAGTATTCTCATCCATTTACACTCCTACTCCCACATACAATTTGACTGCTCAGGTCTTCTATTTAGCCAAAGATGCAGCATAACAACGATTACGATTATGTTATAAGGAAGATGTAGCCAACTATTCGGGCGAAAGGAGCGAGACAAAGGAAACCTACAAAACGTCATGATTATGGCAAATTTTCGGTGCTCTTTGTGGACAGTTAGCATTGCGCTTTTCACGAGCTATCTGGCCCGACATAAAAGGAAAGACGTCTCTATTCAATTGAATCACATTGTCCGGCATAGTCGAAATCATCGACTGCAAAATCTCAAATGTCATGGCAAAGAGGAGACTGCTCTTTTGTGACAGGGTACGGCAAGGGGACTGGACGGCGACTGCCCGTCGCTTTCTAAACTGTAGGCAAGTTTCACAAATTAGAGGCTGCCTGGCGTGCACCAAAAACTCGTAGCGTTCGCCAGGGGCGGTCCTGCTGACGAGATCTGTTGGCATTCAGGTCCGGCATGCGTTTTATCTGGCTAGCTGGCTGGCTGCCTGGCTGCCTGGCTAGTTTTATGGTTGACGCGAGCATCTTGCGATTTGACTTATCCGCTTTTGTCCTGCCGGCAGCTGCGTTTGATATTTGTCCTGCGACTTTGCCTCCTGATGTCTTGCTCACAGCCAGGCGGCTGACAGCTTCCCTGGTAGCATTTCAGTTGAAATAAAAATAAAAAGAGATGAGGATGAAACCTTTTGCGCAATGTTTGTTTGTCTTCGGTACGTTATTTCTATTTTCTTTGCTGTAGGTGGTTACTAATTGGGTTATTGTCAATATTTGATAAGATTAGTTTGTCCCAATTTGCAGCTGCCACCGTCAGCCATGCAGCTCCTACTTAGTAGCTGCTTGCCCCGCCCCTGGCACCTGCCCATTAGTATGCTCTGGCACTAACTCGAATTGAAAATTTATCGTTCCATAGAAGCGCCACAGCGCTTGTTATCCTTCCTGTGCCCAGACATTATTTAAATAGTTAAGCAGACAAACAAAATCCCAAGCCCAATCACAATGCATGGCGGCCACCTAGACACCCAGGACGGGGCGCCAGGAAGCCAGGCACCCAGCCGAGCCGGCTCCTCGACTGTCATAATTTAAATCGCGGCCACGCGTAAGCCCAGGCACAAAATATGGTAAACTATCGCCGAGCACTTTGTGGCCATAATTTTCCGGGAAAAACGCATGAAAATGAGCATTAGACCTACAACAAAAAAGAGGTTTCATCTATTTTAACGATTATGCAATACGAAATTCCCCTCTAGCGCAGTCTCTCTCTCATTCTCGCTCTCCCCCCCCCCCCCCCCCCCCCTCAATCGGCTGTGCTTTCTCCTTCGCATACGAAATCAGCCTTTTACCTGTTGATGATGTTATGGCACACGGGGCCTTGGGGCCTGCCGGAAGGTTGTGACAATGTTATACGCTAATTGAGCACAAAAACATTTTTGCCCTCAACGCGTTCAATGGCTTTATGGAAATATTATTACACTGTGCAACAAACTTGCGCTCAATATGAATGCGAATTGCTGTTAATACACATCTCGTGTTGTGAGGGTGAAAATATCAAGGTGTTAATTTGCATGAAGTGGCTTAAGCCAGATGATGCTATTTAATCTAAATGAAAAGATAATTATACGAAAACAATTTGTTTTAAATATGTATATAACGAAGCAACAGCTTGATGAGACTTAAAGCAAAATATAATTGAGTCAGTTTAATTAGAGAAGAGAAAAGATATTTAATTAATTCCCTCATAGTACTAAGAACCTTGTAGCAGAGTGCAATGCTCTGTGCCTTGGCACACGTGTCGCAATGACCAAGAAAATGAAAAACATATTAAATATTCCCTATATCTAGTTAGCTCCTAACATTTTTACCGGCTTATGACAGTTTTACGAGTCTGCACCCGCTGCCTGTTGGGCACGCTAGTTTGGTTTAAATGCCAGCAACAAAAAATTATAATTATGCATAATTTAATTTTATTCTAATATGCATTTTCCAAATAGCATTTTCCAGTTTCAGAATTCTTGGAAGGTGATCCACGACCGAAGCGGAAGCCGATGGCGACAGACGTCCCCTGCTCCAATCTCTGCAGACTGCAGCAGAGCGTTGTCTCTGTGTGTGTGCGTGTGTGTGGTTGTCATTTTACAAAAATTTATGCATTTTTCTCTTTTTAGTGGTAATTTGATTTTGATTTGGGAATTTTAATTAATAATCATGTTTGGGCGCCTTGGCGCAGTGCATTTTTGATGAAATATTGTTCAAGAGCGCAGCCCAGAGCTGGGGGCGAGGAGAACACGACATGAGCGTTGAATATAAAATCCCAATCGGGCCACAGAAATATTCAACATAATAATTTTATGGTATTTAAAACAACTAATTGGGCAGAAAGAACAACAATTGAATGTTTGAAAAGCTTTTGATTTTCCCCTCAGGTGTGGCCCGCTTATGAGATTGGGCATTGTTAATGGAGTTTTGATTTTATTTTCGATGCGGGTTTTATGAAGCTTATAATTATCAAAGAGCTGTTGAGCTTTATTACAGATAAGTAGGTGGACGAAATATAATAAAAGTGATGCTATAAAAATTAAAAGCCTCAACGGGTTATAATTATTAATTTTAATAGCTAACAAAATTCTAACAACGAATTTCCATTTAACTAAGGCTTAAAACAAAACAAAAAAAAAAAAAAAAAAGAGAAAGGAAAAGGAAAAGAAGTTTTGCATTACAGTAACATTATCTGCAGGAGTATGAAAAACTCAATTAAGATGCGCTCGAGAAGAGCTCTAAAGGAAGACAGAAGGCAGCAGGAAATTTGCGGAAAAAAAGATCAATTTTCTGCGAACAGAAGGAGCACACTTTAACAGGATAAGATGCATTTAAGCAAATGAACTCACAAAGAATACAAAAAGTAGCAAAAGAAAAAGAAGCAAGCAAGACACGTCGGCGGCGCATTGAAGTAGGCCAAACAAAAGGGCCGGCGAGCCACTTGGCCAGCGGCAAATGGTCAACTGGCCAAAGAACCACAAAAGGCAAACGGCCAAACGGCCAAACGGCCAACGGCAGCAGCTGGCTAAGATGCACTGCAGCAGATTAATAAAGATGAGGGGCACAAAAGAGGGCAACAAAGAGAGGCTGCGATTGATGAAATGCGGAAGTCTTAAGCTGAAAGCCAGGAAGCAGCCGCTCGATCGCAGCCGATGACGAAATTTTAAAACCATTTAGCAAATAATTTCGACTATTTTTTTTAGCGAGCCTTTAAAGCATTGCGAATGCAATAAATGTGCTGCACAGCGGCATGTCCTTAGTAGATGCATCCTGTTGTGCGCTGGAATATTCAATAGTATCCTGCTGCCAGTGTCAACTTTTTTTTTGGCAAACTATTCTGTGAGCACAGCTCACTTTCCGACTGTTGACACTTTCAGCTGTCCTGTGAAACACCACCCGCTGCCCTCGAATGTCCTGGTGCTAATATGTTAAACAGCAGGTTGCCTTTAAAGTCTGGCTGCGCATTGTGGCTGTTGAGTTGGGAAAGGCGCTTTAGCCAGAAAAAATCGGCATTCGCTTCGCTTCAAACACAACTGTGGGAAAGCCTATCTCTAAAGTCTACGTATTCAAACTCGAAACACTTGACCCACATGCAGTGATAACAACAGCGATCTCAACATATCTCTGTCCTTCAGCCAAATTACGCAGTCTGTAATCGATACTGTGATGAGATCAGTGAAGGATCATTTACAAACGATTTTACGCTACATTGAGTTATAAGACACAAACAATAGCATTAGATAAGAGCCAGCTGCCAGGAGCCTCAATTGATGTGGGCACAATCAATTGAGTTTTCTTGTGGTTTCGATATCAAACCACTTTGTAATAGAGGTAAACAAATGGGGCTCTCTTAGGGTAAGCCGGCAGATTTAAAAATTGTGAAGTAGACATCTAAACTGAAATAATAGAGTGCTTTGAAAATAATGTTTCATAGTTTATAAAAATAAATAAAAAAAAGAAACAAGCAATCCTTGATAATGCTGTCAATAAAAAATTCACAAAGTTCCCCTGCAGCTTGTTGGAACTTACCAAAAAATTTAGTTTACAGCTGAACGTTAAGCATTGTACAACGACTGCGCCTCCAAGTATTGTAAGTTTTTCCACATTTTTTACTTATTCAACGTAAAATCGAGTTTTCTCAGTTCTTCATATCAGAGAGCTAATTATGGGACGTCGTAAGTCGAAGCGCAAGCCGCCGCCGAAGCGTAAAAATATCCAAAGCCTGGAAAAGCAGTTCAATTGTCCTTTTTGTAATCACGAGCGCTCCTGCGATGTCATTTTGTAAGTACTTAGAAAAGTCATATTTTTGTATTTATCTATTATCTTAAACAGGGACAAATTGCGTAAGGTCGGCCGCATTATATGCCGTGTCTGCCAGGAATCCTATCAGACCCAAATCATATCGCTATCAGAGCCAGTCGATGTCTACAACGATTGGATTGATGCCTGCGAGGAGACCAATTAGCAATAACAACGGATACGACTAACAATACACATTTATATCACACATACAGCACACAGTGTTCTTTGTAATGATTCAAATTTATATTACCAAGGGCTTCAAATATTCGTTTCTACCCGAAAGTATGCACTTTCTTTTTTGTTGTTGTTGAATTGCCCGATATGCCTGTAACTATGCTTTAAAAAACCTATGTTTCTTTTAACTATTCTGCTAATACGATAGTAAGTTCAAAATAAAAATGTAACCAATACGCTTATCAAATCTAGACGCATAAAAACAAACATATTTGTTATATTTGTTTAATGGTAGTTCACTTGTAATAAGGAAATCTGTTAAAAAAAATATATATATATTGATATTTTGTCTAAGTACAAGATTTATACAATTTTTATATAAGTAGACAATAAATGTTCTGTTAAAAAATGCTTTCTAAAACTTTCGTTTTGATAAATATTTTAAAATTTACTTTCTAATTAACTTAAAATATGAGCATATGTACATTATTAAGAAATGACTTAAGTTAATTGTTTAATCTTATTTAGCATTGATGCCAATCACTTTGAATTAAAGTAGTCCGTGAAATGCTTAACCTAATAATTCTGACATAAATTTAGATAAAAACATTATTTGAACAGTTGTTGAGCAACTCGAAATTTGTGATAAAAAGCATTTGCCAAAACTCGACTATAAAAGGGGCAGACGACGCTACAGTCAGCATAGAAACTAACTAACAAATTAACTTTATCAACATGATTTCCAACAAATTTCTGATCATGAGCCTTGGTAAGTATATCGTAGTGCTTGGCTTATAGAGCAGTCTTGATTACGTTCCCTATTTAATTTCTAGCTCTATTCGCTTTGATCCTGGCTGCTTCTGCCCAAGATAGCGGCGAAAAGATCGCTGATCGTCGATTCCGCTGGGTTGGATCCAACGAGCAGGAGCAGGAGGATGACGTAGATGAGGAAGTCAAGGAGGAGGAAGAAGTTGAAGAGGAAGAAGAGCCAGTGGAAGATGCAGACAGTCTTGAAGAAGATAAAGAAGAAGAATCTGCGGAAGAGCAACTCGACAGCGAAGACTCAGAGGCAGATGCCTAAATGAAAATACAAAACAAATTTTCAATTAATTTTCCATTTACTGTTAGACCTATTTAAATATTGTTTAACTTTGCTATTTTTTTAAAATGTATTGATTATCAAACAACAATTAAAAGTGAATCACAAAAATCCAAACATTTGTATAATTAATTTTATTTAACATAATTTAAAGTATGCATAATTCAATTTTTAATATGGTTTACAAACATTTAATTATTTATATTTGTATTTACTTGTATTATGCATTTAAATATATAGTATGTATATTTAAACTATGACTAAACATAAATTTCATACAATTATGCCATCGCTCAATAATTTAATTGAAATATGGTAAAATATATTTTACTTTTACTACATTTTAAATAAGTGATTTTTGTTTTGTTTCTTTTTTTAAACCAAAAATTGGAATTGGAATGATACACAGGCAACAAATTTTAATTGTTAAACAGAAAATGCCAAAGCATATTTGAACAAAAAAAGTATATATATCTTTTATCAATTATTAGACGGTTTATTTAAAGAGGTTCCTTGAGGTTTCCATTATTCTGCTGACTTTCATATAAACTTTTTATTCAGCGCAATACCAATAGAGATCCATTATGATTGACTCAGGTTTGGAAATTTATCGCCGACATTTAATTGAACAAGTTAATTAGATTTTATGCTGCCTATTTAATTTAACTCTTCATTGATGTAGTTGTAGTTTGCCTTAATGCGTTGCGTTGCGTTGCGTTTTGAGTCTTGTTTTCTCACCGCACACCCCAGCCACAATTCAAGTGTTCCGACTGACGACGACGGCGTAGACGCCATCACACATTGCTGTCCGTGCCCACGGCACCGGTGAAGGAGAATGGCTGCGCATTATTCACAATGCCCGCCCGATCGTTGGTCGTGGCCGCCGCATTGCCTCCAAATGTCTGTCCTGCCACGGCACGCATATCGGCAGCGGAGGCTCTGCGATAAGTGAGGAAAGACAAAAATTAGACTAGTATTGAAACAAAATGTTATAGTATGAATAGCTCGCTAAAACTTAATACAACATATTACTGTAGAATACGAATAAAAGTTTATGTTAGATTAATAGAAAGCTAATGGGAATGTGTTTCGAACGTAGGACTCGTGCGTTGCAACTAACTATATTGGTTAAGGGTCACAAGTGTTGACTCTGGTCGACTAGGAAACACCCTGTAACCAGATTTCTTACCGTATCTGTTGTGTACCAACTTCTCTACTAGTCACGCATTTACATAATTAAACATTTAGTCACAACTTTAGTCAACATTAAAGAAATTACTTTATAACAAGATCTTTAGTAGATTACCTATAGATTTAAGATTAAAAGTAAATTATTAAGAGCAGAGAAAGAGATTGTATGGAATTAAAGGATTCTTCTTTTCCAATTAGCTCATTTACGTGGATTTAAAAAGATATTCTACCAAAGAGTAAAGCTTACATGATTTAATTTGACTTTTGTGAACGTAGAGTATATATAGTGCATAACAGACTTGGTAATAGTTAAGTTACAAGAAGTATATAAACACAGAAACAACAAAAATCCCTAAGACTTGCTTGGAATCGAGATAAGAAGCCATTAAACAAAAATACTAAATACATAAGCGAAATAACAAAAGAAATACGTTCTAAAAAACAAAAACAAGTTCGAAATATTTTACAATAATGTTTTCAGCAGTCTATATCAGAACTATATTAATACATGATTCTATTATTTGTAAATATAGAAAAGTCCATGCAAGCTGCTAAACAAAATAATAGTATAACAACAATCTAATATCTAATATAAACGTAACAGAAAGGTCGCATAGGGATATGGAATAGGATAAACCAAATCGTATATATTAGCACCTTTATATTTACATGCTAATTGAAAGCAACATAGTGCAATTGGATAGAACAATTGGTTCAATTTGACTACAGAAAGGAAATTTGGACTAATAATTCGTGCTAAGTAAAAATCAATTGCCTTGACATTAGCGTACTTCTTGCTGTTGTTGTTGAAGTTTATGTAGTTCATTTGCTGCAGGCTGCAATTGGCATTATTAACTGGGACTGTGTTCTGTGGCAGTTTGGCATGTTCAATTCATTAGCATAATATTTCATAATATTTATTTCAGTTAACTTGTTAACATAATATTTGACTTGAATGATTTTTAGTGTTTCGTTCGTTAGGCATACATAATTATTTAACTAATTTCAACTATATATAATGTATATTAAGCTAGGACGTTGTTCAGGCTGATTACGAGAAATCGATTTTTGTAACAAGTAACCAGAGAGAATGCATTTATATAGAGAAAGCCACACTGGATGCCAATATGGATCCATTAGGATGCTGCAACTTTTTTGCGAGTATTATTATGTTTTAAATTAAATATGTATGTATAAGATTAAAATAACAAGTGAGAAGAGTGCTTACAGCAGTATATATATAAATTAAATATGATAATTTTCTTTAACAAATAATATGAACGTTATTTGACAGACTTCTGTCTGGAAATACAAAAGGCACCAGCCCAAAATAAATATGTAAAGAAAATAAATCTAAAATAAATAAATGTAATTCTGAGCAAACGAAAGGCTATAGCCGAATATACAGTATAATATTAAATTTCACAATATTCTTTACAAAATAATTACATTTCATATGCCAAGTTTTAATTTATTGATATTCTTGATTTATGCATGTCTCACGTTAAATTACAGCTGCTAATGCAAGCAAACAATTTTCATGAACAATTCTGGTATATGTTTCTAATTTGATTAAATAAATCAAAAATATTTCTTTATCTCAATTAACATTTTAACATTTACATTTGTTTACATGTCTCATGTTCAAGCAACGCATATCAATGCTCTCTTCAATGTTCTCTGAGTTTTTTATATTGCTCTACGATTCTTGACATCGTCTTTCTTATGTTGCAGGTAATTTGTTCTATAGCCGTGTGGAAGCTGTTTAGCGTGTCGTTTATTATCAATATGAGTTTTCATTAAAAATAAATTGTACATGTTAGTAATATATATATTATATATTTGCATATTTAACTGTATTTATTTTTCGAAAAACGCCACAGGACATTTCAAACTGGAGAAATGCAACTACATGCACAGGACGAACAATGACCAAGAAAATAGAGAAAATGCATTTGCGCAACATTTTATCAACATTTCTTTTTTGTTTTGCTTGTTTTTAGTAACAACAATTACGAAAAGTTTCTTTCTTTTTCAATTGGTGGGGTGTTTTTGTAATTCTGTATTCTGTGTTCAATATTGTGAGACTACAATATGATCTCTGCGCGGCACTATGCTGTATTCATTGTTTATATATATATACATATATGCATATGTATATATATTTATATATACTTTTAATTGGAACGAACACTAAAAACTATGCGTCGTAAAATATTTGTTACTCATTATATTTCATTATGATATTTCCTTGTCTAACTGTGTGATGTGTATTGGGCGTGTGTGTGTTTGTAATTGGTTTGTTTATGCTTTAACGTTCATTTTTTGGCAGTTTATGCATTTTGCTAGAGCATTTATGTTGGACGCCAAACATCGGGATCTTCCATGAGTGTGATATGCTGATCGCCGCCCATTTGCATTTGTCCGCCCGTCTGGCTGCCGGACATTTGTGTGGGCGATGTGGCCGCAGCGGCCATGTCCTCGCGCGAAGCTCTTTTGTTATTTATTTATTATTGTATTAGACAACAGATGTTGTTTATTTTTATGTTAAATTTCATTAGTTGTAAATGTAAGCGTAATCACAGCGCAAGCAGTTCAAGGAATAGAGAGAACATTATTTGGATTAGCTTTTTGTGCCTTCTGTGTATTAGTTCTCTGCTCCATTTCACACTAATCGCTAACTAGCCAACTGACTGGATGGATGTATGGACCATATATATATATATATATATATATATATATATATATATATATATACATATGTATGCATATATATATATATTCGGCCATGACTTCCAAGCAATACTCACTTTTTGCCTAACGCCATCATGCCGTAAACAACGCCGGTGGCAAAGACCATGCCGCTGCCAAAGACACTCGCAGGCCCAAAGCACAAAAATATTGGCGGCACTGCTATGCTGCAAAAATAAGCACAAAAACAATTAATAACAGTTTCAATAAATTGATATAGCATTTGCTACTCACGCGCAGTATAGGCCCGCCCGAAAGAACAAGGGCTTGGCATCCATCATTTGCGATATATCATTGACTTTCTCAATGCAGATAAAACAAAACGGCGCTTCCAACGCCAATAGCACAAAGCCTGCAAGTATTTGTATAATGCCCGCGACGAGGCATGTCACGCTGAGTCCAATGATTGACAAAACGTTCCACAGACCAAAGAGTATGGCAACTGGCATAAAAGAGAGGGAGAATATATAATATAGATAGAGATTCGATGTGGCCTAAAATACAAAAGATATACAATTTGGCAAGGTTGCATTGCGCTTTTATCAATATACTATAAAAGCAATATCTGCTACGGCAGTAAGGATTTGGGGATTATGCTAAATTATATTATATTATATATAAATTATATTTTGCAATGTATGTGAAACGCTATTATCAATACACAACACAAGTGAATGTTAAGCATCTGCTAGTAAGTTCTAAACATGCATGTTATCTACTTAAATGGGATTCATGCCACATTTCCTGCCAGATAGTTTATCATAAGCTTTTGTACACATTAGATACATTAGTTAACAAAGTCATTTAGCAGATAACTTAAATAAAAAGGGCGTTTCGAGCCACGCAACATACAAATTAAATAAACGAAGGCATTAAACAGAATTATCTAGCTCATGGTATTTTTTAAAGCAGATCTATTCAAGAATTCAATAACGCCTCCAACATTTGGCCTCATTATCTACGCTGCAAATAATATAATATATATATAGTATAACAATTCTAGTGTAATCTAATCAACAGAGCTGACTCATACAACTAAGCTTTTATTTCTATAAATTTACTATAAAAAATAGAATAAAAACAACAACAGCCCAGAGAGCGTGACAAAACAAGCGAAAACACTTGTTCAAATTGGAGCAGTTGTCGGTTCAGCATCTGGTAAATGAATAGAGAATAAACGTCAGAGTTGTCCGTTGTCTGAGCTCTATAAACTGATGAAATATATATGGAAAAGTCCAATTAATGCCGTAGCCTGTTTAATTTAGCTGTAGCAAAATGTATATCCAAATCAAATACGCAATTTAAATATGTTATCAACTGTTTACCAAGCAACAAAAATTATCTTGGACGCAAGCGATAACACAACTTGGGGCCTAGGTAAACAAATATCTGAATGTGTTAATTGAGCAAAATTTTCATTGAACAGGCAAGTCTAGATTCAAGAGTATCTGATAGTTAACTATCCTAATATCTTCAGAAACTGAAACTGAAACTGAACCAGTTTCTTTTGTAAGCTAATCTGAATTTTGAGGTTATTGCGGTACGCGGACTTTGCAAAACTCCTCAAGTACTTCGGCGCTGTGCTCTGTGAAGCGGCATTTAATTATAGTTTTATAAGTATTAATTATAAAAAGAACAGTTTTTGTTTGTTTTGGTTTTGTAACAAACCGGTTGCGAGAAGCCGCAAGAGTGAATTCTCTTCATCTAATCTGAGTTGAGGCAGACAGTCTGCTTCCCTCGGAAATTATAGCTATAATATATTTTATATTAATAGGCAAATACTAGCAACTGTCTCCATTCATTTTTCGATCATTCCCCTTTTTGTTTATTTTTTTTATTCATTTACTATTGATTGCTTATGTGGATTTGCTCATTACGAAACATTTGGCACATGATTCAGCAACCAGCTGACTATCAAATGGTAATAAAAAAAAAACCTAGCTCTATTTGTAACTAATAATAGTTTTCAGAGGCAGGATGTCATTGAACTTCACGCGGTTTTCTTTGAGTGCGTGCGCAATGAAAATGTTTGCATGTGGCTTGCTGAAAATCGCGTTAAGTTGCGGGGAAAAAGCCATCAGGCAGTGGGGTTCAATGTCATAGCAACTGAGGAAACGTAGAACAATGGATATATACATATACATTTATAAATATATATACATTATGCAAAACAACAGAAAACAAAGAGACATTCAGAGAGAAAGGGAGAGAGAGAGAGAGAGAGAGTAACACAAAGAGAACCTCAATTCTATTGCTGATAAAAAATAACATTAGCCATGCAAAATTGATGGCATTTAATGACTAAATTGAACAGCATGAAAGAAAATGGAAAATGCACATATTGCACAAACTTGACATAGAAATATATATATACATATACATAATATATATATACGGATATAGGGCTCTGCCAGACGTGTGCAGCATACACACCCAAACACGGGCAAACATTTCTGTATCCTTTGTAGCAGTTTCTTATTGTTGTGGTTCTTCCTTTTGCTTTTATCAATGTCAGGTCGAAGAGCGAGCGAGCGAGCAAACGAGTGTGCGTGCTGTGAGTATTGTGGGTGGATTACACACACACTCATACATACACATAAACATATAGAGCCACGCATGGTACACAAATAGATAAGCTGTGTTACAACAAAATGTGTTACATGCTAAACATAAAAATCGATGCTAATATCCACATAAACTGAAATTGTGATTATTGGTGTTGTTATTGTCAGTTACTTACAGAATCCAGAAACAATGCCCAACAGCCGTGAACCATATTTGAGATACCAAGGTGCTTCTGGAGCGCCAACTTGCTCTTGATTTGGCCGAGCTAGCAGTTCGGCTAATTTTCCCGTAAACGACTGGACGGAAAGAAGACAATGACAATAAACTTATGTATTATTTTATAATGGAAAAATCGAAGCACAACCGCAATATATAGTATATATATATATATATATGCATTAGCCATGCAATTTGTGACGCGGCCGCTTAAGATTATACACACACAAACACACGATTAACATGAACAATTCACGTCACCAAAAACTTTGTGCCGCGTTCTAGTTTAATTTCATTGAGTTTTTGATTCAAGATCTTATGCAGTCAGTGCTTGCCGAAGTACGTACCATTTCGTTAGGCAACTATTTGAACTTAAACTCTATTATTATAGCACAAATGAAACAATTTTATGCACTTTACACTGACGAAAAACGCAGAAGAGAAAGATATGCAGAATAATAACGATAGCACTAAGCAATCGGTTTGGCGTTGCCACACAGGTGTCGTTTACAGAACATAAGCTTTGTTAACAGAAGTACTCCGCATATTAACAGAGATACTCCTCCTTCTGACTGTTGGTGTTTAAAATTTATTTATCTCGCTAGAACATCATATCATTTCTTCCATTAGTTGCATTATAAAGTAGAATCATAGCTGAAATAAATGTTAAGGTTTTTAGTTAAATAAAACACAATTTTCATCGGTTTCTCGGAAGTACAAAATAAAAATGTAATACAGATTTTATTGCCTGAATTTCGAATATATATTGCCATTGTTGGTTGCACACGAAAAACAATATAGGATATTATGGACTATTTTTTACGAGTAATTTGTTGATGCTTAATCGAATGAAATGGGCGTTAATTTTTCGTTTCGTTTGGTTCGGTTTAAGATCAAAAGTCGACAAATTGCCATATTTTGATATTTACGTTTTGTTGTTGTTGTTGTTGGACGTTTTACAGTTCAAACTGCTGAAATGCATAGCAAAGGTTACTTATTTACCGTTTTCGTTGAATACTTGGGCGGTAACGTTTAAAACTGATTTTAGTCTACGGCAAGTAGTGTGAAGAATGTAGTAGAGAATGGCAATTATGCTTGATTTAAAGTATTTTTTTTTATGTTATACTAGGAGTATTGTCGACGAAAGAGCTGTCGAAATCGTTCGCCCAAGTATTTTAGGATTGTTTTGCTTAACTATAAACTTAAATGTGTTGTCGACTTATGTTCTTTAGGGATTTATCTGTTCGTCCAGCAGCCCGTTTACTAAAGTTAATTATTTGCTATGTCTATTGATTTGTGAAACATAAACTATGTGTACATGTAGGTTGGTATACTCGCAGTATTGTATAAGCATTTGCTTTTTCATGTTGCACATTACGGAAATTAAGTGATTATGTTTTCGTCTTCATTTAAAATTTTAGTTACAATTTTGAATTTGAATTTAATTTAATGTCTTTTTTTTTTAATTTCAATTATTACTATTTCGCACTGAAAGAAATTTGAATTTGAACATGGTTATTGTTGCTATTGTTTGATATTTGATATTAATTGCAATTTGTTGTAGTTTGTTGATTTTGAATGGTTTGTATTCTTTTTGCTTTTGTTTTTGTTTTGTTTGCGCAAAACAAATGCACATTGAAATTGTTACAAATATTAACGAAAAGAAAAGAACATAAGAAAATTATTTAGTTATTGACAATTTCATTGAACATTTGTTAAACGCCTCGAACAGTTTCGTGTTGTTGCTGTTCTTTTGAAGAAATGAAATAAGAAATAAAAATAAAATTTGAAGAAAATTAAAAGAAAATAAAATTTTGTTTTAAAACATACAAAATTAATATGGCTTTTCAAAAAGCTTTAAAAGTCAATTGTAAAAAGTTAAAGCGAAATCGTTTAAAGGACAGTTTTCAAGGCCAGTTTGTGGGCAGCATTGCGTAAAACGATTTCAAAGATAATGTTTCAGCTTCAAATGTTTTAAACTAATTTGTTAAATTCGTTAAATTTATCAAGAGTTGTCACAAGGTTTCAAAAGTTGTGTCTTATATAATTTTTGTTTTGTTTTTATTTTTTTGTTGTTGGATATGCCTACCTGATATTGCCCCCAAATCAGTTTTGGGATTTCTATCCCCTCTCTCTTTCACTCTTGCTAACTCACTAATATTAGTTTTAGGTGTATATATATATACAGATATATATATGTGTGTGTGTTTATGTGTGTTTGTATGTCTGTGTGTTTGTGTTGGGGCAATGGACAAGGTTTTTTCGACCGTAGCATAATTTTGAATATTAAAATTTGTTGCTTATAAAACACTTGTTCGGTACGTCGTTTTTGTATGTATTTATGCGTATGTACTTGTATGTTATGTAATAGTAGTTGTAGTAGTCGTAGTAGCTAGCCGTTTTGTTAAGATCACAATTGTGCTAAGAAATACTATATCACAATTAAATATTTACACTCATTATTATATGTACTTATGCTCATCGCATTACATCTTAGGTGGTGGTAATTGGGGCGGGGCAGTAAAAACGACCCAGAAAGTCATGCAAATTGTTGCATATTAGTTGTTTGCCTCTTTGCCACGTATCTTGATGTTGTTCTTCATGTTGTTGTTTATGTTTTTGTATAAAAGGTTCAATGCGCTTAGATGCAAGGAACGAATTGTACTTAATAAAAGAATAGAAAACAAAAAACTTATATTGCAGAACGTTGGGCATTTAAAGCTATGCTTTCTCTTCTTTCCTATCTTTGTTTTCTTTACTTTTTCTCTCTCTCTCCTGCTTCACTTAACTCTTTTTACTTTACTGTCTAAAAAATACACGCACACGGCTTAGGCTGGAACTCTAATTAGAAGGATGTTTGCTTTGCTCACTTTATCGCTTACAAGAAATAAAAACCAATCTAATAACATAATTATTTGTTGTAGAATTATATCGTATTATAATTAAAAAGTGTTTGCTGCGTTCTAATTGCACAACTCTTCATTCCTAGCTCTTCTTCGCTTTGCTTTGCTTTGCTTTTATATAATATATATATAAAAATTTTGCCTGACAATTTTTACAAAATGACGTGTGCTGGAACGGAAGACTCACGTTTAACATTTTTCTTTGTTTTTTTTTTAGATTTTTGGTATGAAAATGTGTTTACGTAATACAAAATTTTATACAATCCTTGTTTGCTTGCTATATACAAATGAATGTTTAAAAGATTGTTTTGTTTTTTGTTGTTGAAAAATGCATCTATCGAAAAGTCCAGAAGACTTTTTTTGAGAGATCCATGGGAAACACCTAAAACTTAATATGTGTAACGATTATTGTTCTTCTTTTTTGTGAATGCTGCGTACAAACTGGCCTTGTGACTTAGAAATGCAAGAAGTATGAGAATTTTAGAAGGAAAAATGTCGTTCAAATTGACTTAGCAAAATACATTTGCTATGAAATTTTTGGTGAATGAGAAATTCGTCCACGAATTGAAATTGGGCGTAAAATTTAAAGGCCCCTGTTGCTGCTGCTGCTGTTGGTGTTGCTGCTGCAGTTGTAGTTGCTGCTGCGCCTGCTGCGATTGGGGGCGCTTCAAAATTCGCAAATTGGTTCCCGATGCCATGCGTTGCAACTTATGCATTGTCTGAGCATCGGGCGTTGTGCTGCTGTTGCTGCTAGTTGCTCCAGCAACTGTTGTTATAGGCGAATTTAATGAAACCGAAGCGGGACGTGGACGTTGTAGCGGCTGTTGTTGCTGCTGTTGCTCCGGTTTGGATGTCTTTTGCGCTGCAGCTGCTGCTGTTAACATGGCAATTAACTCCATGCCAGTTGTTGGTGTCGTTTGCTGTTGCAGCTGCTGTTGTTGTTGTTGGGTGTTGTTTTTGTTCAAAATGCTTTTAACTACAAGCTGCTGTGGTTGCTGTTGTTGATTGCTTTGCTTATCACTTTGAGATTTGGCGCGCGAACGTTGCTGCTGTTGCTGCTGCTTTTGTGCCTTAGCCGCCTTCTGTTGTTGCTGCTTTTCCTTGCGTATCAAATCAAAGGAGCTGACAATCTGCAATTGCTTCTGTTTAGCTTTGAGTGCACTAACTGCAATCTTAGCATTGCTTACCTTCTCATTGCTTGCCGGCTGTTGGGCATCATTTTGGCTTTGGCTATGAAACAGTTGCCGTTTGCTTGTCGCTGTTGCAACTGTAGTTGTCACTGCTGCTGCAGTTGTTGTTGCTGCTGCATTTGCTGTCACTGGCGTTGTTGTTGCTGTTGTTGGTGTATTGCTGCCTGCAGCCACATTTAGTTGCTTATTGTTATTATTGATGTTGTTATTGTTGCTGTTGTTGCAATTACCGTTACTATTGTTGTTACTATTACGCTTGATATTGCTATGGTACATGTTGTTGCTGGCAGTGATACCGCCACTACCCCCTACACCAACACATCCACCTACGGCCACCTTGCCATTGAGATTATTTAGCTTTACACCATCCAAATCGCCCATCGATTTGTGCCGCTGACGCTTCGACGAACTGCGTTGCTGTTCCTTTTTGTCAATGATGCCATTTGCCAGCATTGTTGGGGATGCGGAAGTTCCACCATTCAAGATGGCCTTGGGACTCTGCTGTCCCGAGCATTTGCGACGGCGAGTTGAAGGCTCAATGCCGGATCGACAATCGTTCACCCACTTCTTCAAGCGCTTCACAAACGGCATGATCATAAAGAAGGAATTGGAATTTTTACCCAGTTTGGCTTTCGATATGGCATCGTTCTTATTGACCGGCAATGCATCAATGCGAAACCAATCACAACACTTAATCTCATTGCGCGTGCGCGGCGCAAACTTCGTATCGAACGGTATATTGCGCACTATATACAATCGTGTAAATTGATAGTTGATAAAAGCCTCAATATAATCATCAGCGTCTATTTTGTCCGTTATATCAAAGCCTGTCTCCTCATATACCTAAGCCAATGCAAAGCAAATATTATTTAAAAGAACTTTTGAAATCAATAGCATTTGCATTTGCATTTGCATTTCTTACTCACCTCTCTAGTGGCGCAGTGTTCGGGATTCTCGTACTCGTTGATTTTGCCCTTGGGAAAACCCCAAGAGTTTCGAGCAAAATATGATTGCACCAACAGACAATAATTATAGTCCTCTGACACAAGGATGGCGCCATATGTTGGCACAGATAATTTATATTTTTTCCAATCATCCAATATCTGATTCACAGTGTCAAAATGCTTATTCAGAAAGGGAATGTGCTGCATAATATATAATACAATACATTATATTAGTATACGGATTATTACATTCGTTCTGTTCTCTCACCTGAAAGAGTTGCATGGCAAACTGTTTGATGCCCACCACGGGCAGCTTTCGTTGTTGCTGTTGTTGTTGTGGTGGCGTTTGGTCTGAATCCTCGGGCGTACAGAAAAAGTCCAGATAGAACCAATGTGCCAGCTCGATTTGGAAGCAAATGCGTATTAAATTATTTAGCTCCATGTCCGGTACATTTATGATAAATCGACTGGCCAGATCGTCGAGTATATCGGACGGAATTTTCGATTTCTCTGGCAATTTATTGCTGGACGATTTTAATGCTGCTGATGTTGTTACCGCTGCTTTGGCTGTGGCTGTAGTTGCCGTCGGATCCTCCGTGGAGGAACAGGAGCTGCCATAGCTATTGGCCGTAGAGGAGTTGGTTGATGTGCTTGAGTTAGTCGATGATATGGATGAATTGAGTCGTTGATTTTGTGCGCTATGCCCATGTTGCTGTTGTTGTAATTGCTGTTGTTGCTTCTGCTGTGACGACTTCCTCTCGATCGCAATTGGCGCACTGATTCCCGTCGAAGAGGTGATAGCAACAGTTGCTGTTGTTTCAAATACCGCGCCCGTTTTTAGCAATTGCGTTAAAATGTCAGTCTCAGCTTCGTTATCAGAGTGTCGTCGTTGTTGCTGTTGTTGGTGTTTCTGCTGCTGCTGCTGTTGTTGTTGTTTAATGGCTGCCGTCGTTGTCTTTGTGACTGCTGACACTTGCTGATAAGCGTTGCCAGAAGCATTGGCATTGCTATTGCTATTGTTGTTGTTGTTGTTGTTGTTGTTGTTGATGTTGTTGTTGTTGATGTTGTTGTTAATATTGTTGATATTTAGCACCTTTTGGAGCGTCAGCGATGTGATGAACGCCAAGTTATTGACTTTAATCAAATCACAAAACATAAAGTTATAATAAATAGAATATAAAAATATATAAAGCTTAAAAACTATTCCAGTTTAGTAGCTTGCATAACTATTATTTGTTATCATTGCTCATGTTGTTGGTGAATAAATATTATATTCACTATTTGAGTGACAAAATTCACAAGGCTCTATACACATATACAAGGTAAATATTTAAATAAATTAATTCAAATTGTCGCAATAAAACGACATTGAAACTGATTTCCACATATAAGCGAATAAGAATGCCACCAAATTATATATATATATATATATATATATATATATATATATATATATATATATATATATATTTATCACTATTATATACAGGTTGAACTTCACTGCAATGAAATGTCATGTAATTTAAGGCAAAAGTTTAGTAAATATGGTAACATTTGTATATATCAATTGATTCAGCTTTTGTATGGACTTAGTTTCACAACTCTTTGCTGGGCAGTGTGAAACTGATCGAAAAAAAAAACAATTAATTATGTCTTTTAAACGGAAACTGTTTGATATAAGAAACCTGACATATTTAGTTACCGGAAATAATATCTAAAGATATGATCAAAACATTGGGAAAGAAAATAAATATCGAAATATACACTTAAAGGTATCGATGCCAGAGCAACTTTAAAGATATCAAACAGATATACAAATACATATATGAGAACTAACGGCAATAGTTTGTAAAATAAATACAGTATAACTTTCCTAATTCGGAAACTCGCTTGGCCGACCATTCGCTGCGATGTCAAGTATATAATACTATTTAATATGTCCATGCTAGGCACTATATACTGTATACTGTAAGAGACAACCCTATACAAATATAAGCCAAATTCTGTTCGATTTGAAAACGAACTGTAAATGCTTATAAAATTACCAACACAAATTAGTTATCGATTAAATGAATCCCTTTCATTATCTTAGTTAATTACTTTAGCCCAAAATGTTTTAGTCGACCTTCAGGTGTTTCTTTGCTGCCTTTTCGTCTGCTCTATCAGTTTTCAAATATATTCAAGCAAAGATCACCTTGAAAATAATGCTGAATAATCATTACTACTCTGTGTGTGTGTGTGTGCGAGTGTGTGTACACATAATGATCACAGCTGGGCCAATGATCTACAAATTGCGCAACAACAATTACAAACACTATTTTGTTACTAATCGTATGGCCTCTACGAACGAATACTAATTGGGAATGGGCGCAGTTCAGCGACCTGCCTTCAAGTGTTGCAAGCGATTGCGCTGCACCGCGCTGCGCTGCAACTGCACGCGTGGAAAACTACTGAGACTAGCAGATAAAAATACCTATGTACAGTATAGCCAACTTGGTACGAACATGCGTTGTGTCGTCAACTACGATGCAATCTTCAAATATGGAAATTAAGTACTTTAATAATATTCAATAAATTAACATTAATATTTATACATTAAAAAAAATGGTTTTTATAGTTTTCTTTATTTTTAACAGACTGTAGAGATAACATTTTTAGACTGAGCAAAAATAATTAGTTGTCCGAATAAGTGAACATGCGAGTTTTCGAATTAGGCAGTCTATACTGTACTGCTAAGCTTGATGTAGAGATAAGGCTATCGCTCTGTCTTTGTCACTCTGCATTTTTTTCAAGTGCTGCTATCGTAAAACTAATGTAATATTCATTTTTATTTTTATTTTTTTTTTGTAATTATTATTTAATTTTATATTATTTTGTATGGCTTGCTTTATCATTTACCGTTATCATTTTGATGGGCTCGGCTTTCGGTGTTTAATTTGTTGCCTGCTGTTGTTGTTGTTGTTGCCAAAACTGCGGTGGCGGAGCGCCTCTGTCGCTGCCTATGCTGTGACGTCGACGTTGTTGCAGTGGCAGCAGCGGCTGTTGCGACGACGGCGGTATTATATATTGGGGCAATTTCCATAATATTTTGTATATTTCTTTTTGTAATACACTTTTCTTTATAACTTTTTAATTTTTTTATTACAGTAATGTTTAATTTGATTTGTGATTTTATTTTTCTTATTTTTTTGACGCTTATTTTACGTTCAGTCTTCGTCGTTCTTATGTCGATTTTTGTCACGTATCTTTACAATATCGTGGATCGCGTTTTTTCTGATTCTGTTGTTGTTGTAGCTGTGAATATGGCTGCCAGTCGTCGAAAATCGCTGTTAGCTGCTGCTGCTGTGGCTGCTTCTGTCGCACAAATTTCAATTTCCAATGCAATTGTTGTACTTGATGGTTTCTGTAGCATGCATTTCTTGCCGTTGATGTTGTGATGTTGCAATCAACATAATCTGCTATTGTTTTCCTCTTGTTTTTGTTTGTGTTGTAAGCCATCCACAATTAATTGTGTCGCTAAACAGAAACAAAAAGTCTCCGTTACTCTCCACTCGACATACGTACGAACGCACACAACCAAACTTGTTTTTCTTCACGTACTTTCTAAAAAAATGAGGCTGCCAGTATGTATGTGTGTATGTGTGGTTTTTGCGTCACTCTTATTTGCAGCTTCAATTTGCCTTAGTCGCTGTTATTTATATGCATGCGTAGTATATATTTCTTTCTTTATACGTTGCACTTAAATTTATCAATTATTTTGCACTATTAAATAGCTTTTCAATTTTTGGAAAATGCTTCCTCGTCGCACATACACATATGAAAGTCGCAGACGTAAGACCACCTCTTGGCATCAGCAAAATACCAAACTATATGTACTACGCGTTGGTTTTAGTAAACTAAGCATGTATATCATAGGTGCTTGCCAAATAAGGTCACACTGCTCAAACCAGGGTTGAAAGTCGATCGATAATAGTTGATTGAATTTTTATTAATAATAATGTGTACATTTTAAAAAGAAATAGTTAATAAACTAATAAAGATCTTTATAGTATTGCGTCAAGTTATCGAAAAAGCTTTTTTTGCAACGATTTAATCGATGTGTACTGTCTGCAAGTGTATCGATAATTCATAGCTCTAAAAAGGCCTGTCTCTATCTATCTCAATGAGAAGCTTCTGATGAAAATATTGTGAAAAATTGTGTTTATTGTGCAAAAATCCGTGCAAATGCATTATTAAATAATGCAAGTTGTGTTTATACTATGCCCATTTCTGGCAGTTATTTGTAAACTGACGCGCACAGTTTAGCTGAACGTCATAAAATCTGTGTTTTTTGATTGTTCGATTTTTCACACAGTACAAAAATCTGTGGTAGTGTAAAATTTGGTTATTTGCGTTAGCAAAGGCAAATTGAAAACGCGCAAAACCACTTATAAGCACAAATGTCGCATTAAGCAAGCACCAAAATTGCATTTTCGAACATTTCCGCTTGCACCTGGTTTCCGTGGACGTGCTTTGGATCCGTGGATAACAGAGACGCAAAGGTATTGAGTCTACAACGAGTACACTTAGAGATGAGCCCGTGACTTTCGCACGCCCCAATATAGCTGCTTAAAAAAACAGTCATATATGTATATTATTTATCTTTGTTGTACGCAATTATTAAACGTATTAATAGGACACAAACTAGCTTGCTCAAAGTAACAAATGACATATTGAACACAATATTTCACACTTTTTAAGAATTGGGGCGTTAAGCCAACTTACCTTGTTTCACGCGCCCATCTCTTCTGCTTGCGTGAGTGTGTGGGCGGCTGACAATGTTAATGGCAAAGGCGTATCCATTTTCTTTGACTGATTTGATTTGTTTTTCTTCAATTTAGATAGACGCCGTGTGGGGTTGGGCTTCCGCCCCGCTGCGCTTAGCGGCGAATAGAATGGGCGATCCTTTACTGCCTGGCTCTACGGGCCTTGGCAGCGGCGGTACAGCTGCTGCCAGTGGCGGCACAGGCACAACGGGCACGGGGCTAGGTAGTGGTGGCACCAGCGGTGCCGAGCGCCCACCCTCGCCAGCGCGTCTGACCCACACATCGGAGAAGCATCCAAAAGTAACGCTTACCGAGTTAAACATGTTACGTCGTCATAGAGAGCTCTGCGACGTGGTGCTCAATGTGGGCGGACGCAAGATTTTCGCTCATCGCGTCATACTGAGCGCATGCAGCTCCTATTTCTGTGCCATGTTCACCGGAGAGCTAGAGGAGTCGCGCCAAACTGAAGTCACTATACGCGACATTGATGAGAACGCCATGGAGCTACTGATTGATTTTTGTTACACCGCTCACATCATTGTGGAGGAGTCCAATGTGCAAACGCTTCTGCCGGCCGCCTGCCTGCTACAGCTTGTAGAAATTCAGGATATTTGTTGTGAGTTTCTCAAGCGCCAACTCGATCCGACCAACTGCCTGGGTATACGCGCTTTCGCTGACACGCATTCCTGCCGTGAGCTACTGCGTATTGCCGATAAATTCACGCAACACAACTTCCAAGAAGTCATGGAGAGCGAGGAGTTCCTGCTATTGCCCGTTGGCCAGTTGGTCGATATTATTTGCAGCGACGAGCTCAATGTGCGCAGCGAGGAGCAAGTTTTTAACGCTGTCATGTCCTGGCTAAAATACAATGTCGCTGAGAGGCGACAGCATTTGGCACAGGTGAGTGGGAGCATGGAAGCCAAATTAGGCAATTTCTAATTATGTTATTTACATTAATAGGTGCTACAGCATGTGCGATTGCCGCTGCTCTCGCCCAAGTTCCTGGTGGGCACTGTAGGCTCTGATCTCTTGGTGCGTTCGGACGAGGCTTGCCGCGATCTGGTTGATGAAGCCAAGAATTACCTGCTACTGCCGCAGGAGCGTCCATTGATGCAGGGTCCGCGCACCCGGCCACGGAAGCCCACACGACGTGGCGAGGTCTTATTCGCAGTCGGCGGTTGGTGTTCCGGCGATGCGATTGCATCAGTCGAACGTTTTGATCCGCAGACCAATGACTGGAAAATGGTTGCACCCATGAGCAAACGACGTTGTGGCGTGGGTGTTGCCGTTCTCAATGATTTGCTCTATGCTGTTGGCGGGCATGATGGCCAAAGCTATTTGAATAGCATAGAACGCTATGATCCGCAGACCAATCAATGGTCTTGCGATGTTGCGCCTACCACATCGTGCCGCACAAGCGTTGGTGTAGCGGTACTGGATGGTTTTCTGTATGCTGTGGGCGGCCAAGATGGCGTGCAATGCTTAAATCATGTCGAACGCTATGATCCCAAGGAGAACAAATGGTCCAAGGTGGCACCAATGACTACACGCCGTCTAGGTGTGGCTGTTGCCGTCCTGAGCGGTCATCTTTATGCCATAGGTGGCTCTGATGGCCAGTGCCCGCTCAATACTGTAGAACGATATGATCCAAGGTAATTTTTTTCTTCATTCTAATTACATCTAATATAATATGTATCTAATCCGCCTATAACAGACAAAACAAATGGGTCGCTGTTAATCCAATGTCCACTCGCCGTAAACACCTTGGCTGCGCCGTATTTAATAATTATATTTATGCTGTTGGTGGTCGTGATGATTGCATGGAGTTGTCCTCTGCAGAGCGCTACAATCCGTTAACCAACACCTGGAGTCCAATTGTGGCCATGACGTCAAGACGCAGCGGCGTAATTTATAACATTTTATATACTTTTTTCAAATTTATATTAATATATTCCTTTTATGCAGGTCGGACTAGCAGTTGTTAATGGGCAACTTTATGCTGTGGGCGGCTTTGATGGTTCCGCTTATTTGAAGACCATTGAGGTTTACGATCCAGAGACGAACCAATGGCGCCTGTGCGGCTGCATGAACTATCGCCGTTTGGGCGGCGGCGTTGGCGTTATGCGTGCGCCCCAGACTGAGAATTATATGTGGTGCGGAAATAGTTTTATATAGAGTATTATCTATAAAGTTATTCACTCATAACTGCATAATGTTATTTTGTTCTTTTTGTATTCATCCTAATAACACTTTTATCCTAAAACACAATCGAACAAACGCAGGATACGGAAGGATTCGGTCGTCTGATGGGAGCAGAAACCGACGTCAGCGTTGCCATCGCAAACGTTGCCGCCGCCGCATTTCTACTGAAAGTATCAACAAAAAACAGATCCACAGCTATCAGCAGCAAATCGAAGCCAAATTTTTTTCAGCGTTAAATAGTTGATGAACATTAAGGACGTAATTGTATAATTGATTGTTAATTGTTTTCCCATTTGGTAGCGCGTTGAAAGCAAATGTTTATTGTATCACGAGTTTTAAACAAATATGCAGAGTTAAATCTAAGCTAGAAAACACTACATATATATAACATGGATGAAAAATGTAATTGGCAACTAACGAATCCTAAATGTTCTATGTAAAAACACAGTTGGTTAAAATTTCCAGGAAATTTCTAACATGCCTTCTCCCTTAAAAAAGTAATCTAGAATTTCTCAGAAAAACAAAGCATTAAAAATCAAATATATATATAATTGGATTATAATATAATTATGCTTATTGTAAAATGCTGATACAAAAAAAATCGGAATACGAAAAAAACAACAATAATGCAAGTAGGGCTTAAAAAACAAACATTAAAATCATAGTGGCATTAAGAACAAGTAAAAACAAATATTAAACTAAGTAAATAAGCCCCAATAATAATAGCTTCCTATCAAGCTTAAAAAGGATTAAACAAACAATGAAATTTAGATCTTACCTAGCGCATACGAAATTTCAATAGAAAAATTTAACAATTAACCCGCATACAAGTATATCTAATTAATAAGTTATAACTATTGCAGAACATACAATTTATTAAGTGTTGTGACAGCTGCACAGCTCACAATATGTTGCTAAGGAACCAACTCGAAATAACAAAAAATAAATAAAAAGGACAGCTATAATTTTTAAAGTAGGGTTTTATCATTTAATTTATTAAATATACTTTGTTTCGTTATTGCCTTATTAAACTCATATACATACATTTATATATATTTATATATATATATATATATATATATATATATATATATATATATATATATATTATATACAATATTATTCATTCATATTTATTTATTTCTGATTTGATTTTTATTGAAGAATTTTTTCTCATTGCGCTATTCAATATTGTATAAGATATTATTATTTGAAACGTTGTTAACTTGGTAAACAAATTTGAAGTTTGCTTCCAAATTAGATTAAGATTAGCATTTAACGAAATTAATTTATATATAATACAAATAAGATATTGACACACAAAAAATGCAAATAAAATTAATACCAGCAGAAAACGTAAATAATTGCACAGTAAAAAACACAACAAAAAAAAGGTATCACATATAAGATAATATATGTATTAAAAAGTAAATATATCAGTACCGCATTAAATACATTGCATTTTAAATATTAATAAAGGGGACTACCAAATGGAAAAGTTAAATTTACTAGTGGAATTTTAAATTCTTATCGTAAAAAGAGTATCGATAATGCGACTGCTATCGTTTCGATAACAGGAATAAGTAGACAAATCTGGTCACCCTAGTCTATTTATGCTATTTATCTGTTGCATGCGAAATAGACTTCAATCAATAGAAACTATGAACAAAATATGTCGAGTTTGGTTATGCAGATTCACGAGTCTTATAAATATATTCAAGGGATGAATGCACTGGCTGCAGTGTAAAATGCAATGATAAAGCATTGTGTAGGATGGTAGAAAAAGGTCAGCAGAAATTGATGTGGATCTCTTGTGATATGCTTTCTGCCGAGGAATGGGAACTGCTAGAGGGTTTGATGTAGATTGTATCACGGCAGAGAACAAGAATTAACAGCGCAATCAGAATTTGGTAACCATAAATCAGACTGTCTTAAAGCAGAGTTCAGTTCTAGTAAAAATAAAAACCACATCTAAAATAATGAAGAAAATATATTTTCGTTACATATATTTACATATTTAATGAAACAATATTAGTTAACTTATTTATAATTAATAATTCATTGAAATTAGTAGATCATTTGGAAATCTTCTGCTTTTTCACTTTGCCATTTGCTGAGCCTGCTTGACCTTTTATTTGATCTTTCACCTTCGCCAGCTTTTTGCTTTTATTTATTGAGCTCTTCTCTGTTTTGTTAGTTTTGTTTCGTTGTTTGAGCACTTTTTCAGCTTTTTCGATTTTCTGTAGCTTGACAAAGTTTTTAGGTGTTTCGGCGCGTATTTTGGTTGTTATATCTTCACGATCCAGCGGCTTCTTGGAGCGCATTTTCGCCTCTGATTTGCGAACCTTTTTCATTTGCAGCATGTACTCCGGTACCTCACCGCCCGAGTTCTTGATGATCTGGGCAATGCTGTAAAATATAAAAGAATTAATAAAAATAAATACACTCTGAAATTGCTTTTTATTTACCTTCTCAAATTGGCCGTATCATCTTGCGTAAAGAAGGTAACGGCACGTCCTGGACGACCTGCGCGACCTGTGCGTCCAATGCGATGAATGTAGGAAATTTTGCTGGGCGGAAAATCATAATTGATGACCAGGTTGACGCCCTTAAAATCTATGCCACGCCCCATTAACTCCGTACATATAAGCACCCAGATGTGACCCTCACGAAAGGCGCGCACGCAATTATCGCGTTGATGCTGCGTTCGCTCGGCGTGAATGACATCCACATTGATGCCATCGTAGAGCAGCTCCTCGAAGAGTTGTTTGGCTCGATCCTTGCTCTGTACAAAGACCAGGACAGGTGGCTGCAATCCCTGGCGAACCATTTCACGCACAGCTAAAAGTTTACCGCTCTCCGAGCCCACGAAAAGCAATTCTTGTTTCACTGTATCCGTGGCGCTGTTCTGTACGCCAATTGTGATACGCACCAGATTCTTGAGATGCCGCAATGCCCACTTGGCCACTGGCACCGTGTAAGTGGCGCTGAAAAAGGCAACACGCTTTTGTGGATGCGTGCAAGCCCCGTAGATATCATCCAGCTGCTCCTTAAAGTTGTTCTGACCCTCCTCCATGAGACGATCCGCCTCGTCCAGCACAAGCCATTCGATTGTTTTAAAGTCTAGCAGCGGTGGCTGCTGCTGCAGCAGGAAACGCACACGATTTGGCGTGGATATCAATATGTCATACTTCTGCTTGCATTCAGGTCCATGTTGCTGCCGCGCCTCGCTCACCTTGCTGATAAAGTGAGTCCGTAGACCCGTTCCTCTAGTCAACTCTCCGCATTCCCTATAGATTTGTTGTGCCAGCTCTCGTGTGGGCGCCAGCACCAGCGCGCGTAAACCAGTTGTTTTATGAGTACGTAGGCCGTTTATGATGGGCGTGAGAAAAGCCAATGTTTTACCTGACCCGGTTGGAGCACAGGCCATCAGCGCCCTATCTTTCAGCAGAACTGGCAGCGCTTGCATTTGAATAGGTGTGGGCTGTGCGAATCCATAAGATAATAGATTTTCCTGTAGGCGTGGCAGTAATTTGTACTCCCCTGTGCTCAAGTCATCAAATAACCTTATAGGCGCTGGCACATCCTTGCCCAGCACGGTTATTAAGTTCTGCTTGCGTAGAGCGCTAACCTCTTCGGCGCGTTGTTGTTGCTCTGCCTGCTCTGTTGACAATTGTTTTTTGGCTTTCTTACGCTTGGGTACATCTGCTGCTGCTGAGCCAGTGCCACTGTCAGCAAGCAAGCGAAAGTCATCAGCTGCTGAACAATCTTCTCCAGAGTCTGAATCTTCAACTGTTTTATTGACTGGTTTTAGCTGCGGTGTCTCCTTCGCAACGTTTACGGTGTTCGGCTTGGATGGCGGAGCCTAACAAGTATTATATTTAGTAATAGTCTTTAATTAATCAATTTATACATACCGCACGCTTTTTGGTAAATCGTACACCAGCTGTTAATTGTTTAAATATGTCATACGTGTCCATAATTATTTATTATTTAAACTAAACAAAATTTAACGCACGTGCATTTGTTTTGTTATTACTATAGAGTTGCCAGACGTAGCGCATGCGGTAAGCAAGATATCGAAACTAACAGCAGTCACTATCGATAGTAAATGTTAATATAGTTAACATTAAATATCGCTTATTTAGTACAAATGAATAGCTTAAGTGGATTCTCATTTATTTTATTTTCATTCGTATTTTAATCACCCTCCTCAGTGTCAACCAGTGCATCAACCAGTTCCATGCGCCGTCGCAATCCTTTAGCATCCTTCTCACTACCTCCGCGTCCTGGCAGACCTCCGCCCCAATTAAATTTACTTTGTCCACTCTCCTTCGTATCCAAATAATTATCTTGAAAATCCACGCACAAGTTATGCATGGCACAAATACTTTCCACAATTAGCCGCACTTCGTTCAAATCTCGCGCCTCTAGAGCGTATAAAGTATGAAAACGACGCGCTAAGGAATCCATTACACTGTCAGACAATTGATAAGCGGGCTCCAACAGCCCGTTGAAGACGGAATCCTTTCGAAAGCATTCTGTGTCAATTGGACGAATTAAATAGGATTTGAGGGGAAAGCAAGAGCTGCCTATAAGATAACTGCTCGCTGGCATTGTGCGTGGATTCAGTGCCAATGTTTGTCCAATTGGTGATTCCTCAAAGGTGTACTCCTGCTCCAGCTCCACATAGCAGTCAATGATCTTTTGTTCGCCATTGCAAATCAGTTGCAGTACAACAGCTACCTCTGCATGCTCAGATTCCAAGAAAATATCCACACGCTTCAGAGATATGATGCCAAACAGGTCTTGAAAACAACTGAGCTGCGGCACACTCTGAAAGCCCAGCAGTGTGTTCTGCTGTGCCTCCAAAGAATTTGGCCACTTGATGAAGCTTTCATAGTTATCGGAGATAATATGCCAGAAACTGCGCACCACCTGCTGGCACAGCGACCAAGGAAATTGAAATTTGCGCGCAATCTCCTCGAAATGTTCATCTGTAGTCAATTTCCACAGGGCCAACGAGAGCGTTGTCTGTGGAGCAGGCGAGCCTGGCAGAGCATTTTGCTGCAGAATCTCCTCTAGAGCCTGCTGGATTTTCTGCAAGGCATCAGTTGTCTAAACTTTCCATTTAGTATACTATTACCTTAAGACTCACCAGAAACGTCAGCTTGCGCATATGTAGGAAAGATTCAAACTGGGCGTCCACATAGCGATGTAGCAAATTAAGCTCTGCATATTTCCACTCAAATTTGGGTACTTTGCTGGAAGGGCGCGTAGTTTCTGCTGCCGTCTCTGTAAGCTGCGGACGCTTCAGCTTTCCCTTTACCTGCCCGGCGGCACGTTTTTGCTGCATCAACGCAAAGATCTCCGCTTCATCATCCTCGCTGGCAGCGAGCAACGGAAAAGTGCTAGAAAAGAAGCCACCGGTGCTGCTGTGTCTGGGCTGCTCATCAATAAGCAAATCCTTTGCAATAATCGTGGCTATATTTGCTAAAACCGCTCGTTCTTCCATGCCGATATTAAAACTTTGTCTCTGCAAGTGCTTGGGTATGGGTTTTCTTTTCCACCCTTAAAGTTTGACAGAGCCATCAGCTGACAATATTAAACTCTATACTCTTATTAAAAGTTCAATGTATTACATATTTTTGTAAAAGTATTTCCAAAACATTAAAAATGCATATAATAACAATTATTGATTAAGAATACAAGATAAAATGCCAATTAAATAGAAAATCTGTAACAACTTTTCAAAAATATACAGCGTTGCCAGATTGCCAATGTGGCTAGATATTCGATAATCACACGAGCTGGAATCGGTATCGACATTAGCCGTTAAATTAATCGCTGCAAGGAATACCATGGTAATCACACTCCAGCGTCACTGTAAAAGAAGTTAAAAGCAGTGATTAAATAGGTTTTATACTTTTTTAATTAATTACTTACATGAACCCGGTTTCTTGACTTCAAACAGATCCCATGTACACTCATGCAATGTGGGGTTAGCATAGGTGACGCTTGGGCGATTTGCTATTGGAAGAGCTCCAGCACGCAGCTGCTTGATACGCTGACGCATTGTCGCAAGTATATCCGCATGTTGCTCTGAATAAACTAAATTGTTGCGCTCGCACGGATCAACGCTCATATCGTACAGACATTCCTCCAACAAGGCATTGCAACCACGCTGCATATCACCGCAACGGACCTCAGCGGCTTCCATGATGTTCATCATGCGATGCTGCGTAAGGCGTTGCTGATCATAGCGGGCAAGAGCTTTCGAGGCAGGCGAATTGCGGACCTCCACCACATAACGATTAGCTCGAGGGTCAAGTTCTTCAAGTTCGCGTTTTACCAGCTGCTGATCGTATTGCCCCGACAAGGTAGTTCCGTTCACATACTTCCACCGATCCAACAGCAGCGAAGCCACGTTCCACACATCGTCGAGGCTGTGCAATATTTCGCGTGGCACATGTGGTGCTTCTTTTGGACCCGACAATTGTGGCCACAAATCAATGCCATCGAGCTGCAGCGATTCTGGCAGCTCTATGCCCGCCGCATGTGCCAATGTAGGCAGAAAATCACCAACATAAATCGGCTGGGAAAACACATTGCTGCGCGCTTTGAGCAAGGGACTCCAAATAGCGCCGGCCACACGCAAACCACCCTCCCAGGGTGAATTCTTCTGTCCTTTCAGCGGCCAATTCGAGCCCGTATTGGCAAACATGCCCACCGAAGGCGCCCCATTGTCTGAGTAGAAGATCACAATGCTGTTCTCCAGCTGCTCGGCACGCGCCAATGCGCTTATCACACGACCCACACTCTGATCCAGCTTCGAAACCATAGCTATTGAAATTTCGTTTATAATCATATATATTATCCATATAATCATCAATGAAATCCCTAGGTTACCTGCATATTTCCTGTGATTGGGATCTTTGATGTGGCGAAACTTTTGCACCTCCTCCTCTGGTGCCTGCAATGGATCATTATCGTTGCCCGTGTGCACAGCCAAATGATTAATCATGAGGAAAAGTGGCTGCTGCTTGGCAGCAGTCTCTTTTATCAGACGCTCCGCCTCGTTGGTCAACAAGTCTGTAATATAAACGCCCCGATCTGCACACTCCACCTCCATATCTCGTCTAAAATCGTAACCCACTATGTACGTCTTGTCTGGCATTTGGGAGCGGCGCTGATAGTAATCAATGTAAGCACCCCAATAGCCATAATGATAATCGAAGCCTTGATGCGTGGGCGTAAACTCCGGCCTAGCGAAACCCAAATGCCATTTACCCACCAAATTGGTAGAGTAACCTGCCGCCCGAAAGATCTCCGGCATCAAAGTGGTATTCACGTTTAAGGCCCAGGGCTCCTGATTGCTAATTACGAAATGCTGAGTACCTGAGCGTCATAGATTATTAATATATAGAGTAACATAAGCTAACACGCATACAAAAATCTCACCTGTGTGTATTGGATATTTTCCACTAAGTAGTGCTCCGCGAGATGGGGTGCACATGGCCGGTGCATAGAGTCGATCCAGTAGGCGTCCATGGAAGGCCAATGCATCAATATTGGGAGTTAGAAATTCGCGTCCGCCGCGTATGCTAAGATCGTCGAACCCCTATAATTCGCAGTTGATAAATGTTAATTATCTGTTGACTTGGGCCAACTCCGGTTTGTGAATTTTTTCAGTTGTTACCATATCGTCAGCCATTATAATAATAATATTAGGCAATTTACTGCCAGTTCTGGTCGTGTTGGTCTCATACGCCTTAACCCATCCGAGATTAAGCAAGAGTAAAAGTGCTGATAAGATGACGACGCGCATTTTGATGAATGAATGCTAATATGAAAAATGTTTAAATGCCGCTCCAAAAACCGTTCGATGCGGCAGCTCAAAAACGACTGATTATATATATATATATTATATACAGCTGCTGCTGCTGCTGTTACTGCTGCTGCTGCTGCATAGGCACTGATCAAACAACGCTCTGGCACTACTGAACAATTAGCAGTCGGCTCTGTACCCCACCGCGTTCGTCATTGTAATGTCAAGTGGCAGTTAAGCAACGACAGCTGTCGAACTTAAAAAACCTGAAATTTTTATTCGATTTGATAAATAAAAAATGTTGTTTAAATTAGAACAAGTTGACGACATTAGAATGCAAAATGTGTGGCGAACTTTTGGGGCTACAACTTAAATAATATGAAAGGCAAACATCGACTTACGTAAATATCGACTGTTGGCTAAGAATACGAGCGCTAGACTGCTAGACGAGCCAATACCCTGTAGGCAGATGAAGGCATTAAAAAAGTTTTGATTTGTAGTTTTTTTTATCTACAATCGGACAGATTGTTGACATGTCTAATTTATTTTTATAAAAATTGTTTATGACATTTGACCACATTTGAAGTGCTTTTAAATGGCTTGACAAATTATAAACATATCTCTGCATATAATAATATATTAAGCTCGTTTTGATCTCATTACAAGTCGCCGCAATCTTCGATAATAATCTTCTTCGAGGTCTTGCCGGTGTCGGAGCCCAGCGCTTCGACTTTCGTGATGATGTCCATGCCCTCAACAACTTTGCCAAAGACAACATGCTTATTGTCCAGCCAATTGGTTTTGCCAGTGCATATGAAGAACTGTGAGCCATTGGTGTTACGTCCAGCATTCGCCATGGATAGGACACCGGGGCCCGTGTGCTTCAACGTAAAATTTTCGTCGGCAAACTTATTGCCGTATATCGACCGACCCCCTGTGCCGTTCTGATTGGTAAAATCGCCGCCTTGACACATAAAGCCCGGTATGACCCGATGGAATGGAGAGCCCTTATAGCCATAGCCCTTCTCCCCAGTGCACAGAGCGCGAAAATTTTCAGCTGTCTTCGGCACAACGTCTGACCGTAACTCCATGACGATTCGTCCAAGTTTCTCGCCCCCGGCATTGATGTCAAAAAAAACACGTGGCAAAGTCATAGTTAGCAGCTAAACGAAGTGGAAAACATGGCGAATATTAAATAAATAGAAATATAAAACTCTGCGAACTTGCTGCGTAAGAAGTAGTTTGGCAAAATCTTGGTAGTTCTCCGCTTGTGTTCCGTAGCGCAACTCAAATTGAACTGAGAAATCAAGAAAGGCATTGGAGGGGCCTACTCTTTCCTTTGGTATTTTTAAAGGAAATCGATAAACGTATTTGAAGTATTTTATGCTTGCTGTCAGTCAGACTAACCCTATATGATATATTCAAATTTGGAACAAATATTTTCGTGATTTTGTTTGATAACCTTTCTGAAACTGATGGAATCAATGGGACGTGATGGCGATCACGGCAATCGTGATGACCTAATCTTACAGCAACAGCGTGAAATTGAGAGAGAGGTGAGAGCTACAATCGAATATGTACTTTAACAAATATTCACATTCATTGCAATAATTAATCAACTTTAGATCAGCGATTCAACACCTTTGGTCAGTGAGCAGTTGCCGTTGACTTGTTTGACTGCCGAATACAATGGAGACGCCGTATTCACAGCCAAGATACAGGCCTTGGCTAGCAAATATAGGTATATGCGCAGAACACGTCCCGATGGCAATTGCTTCTTTAGAGCGTTTGCCTACTCATATTTGGAGTGCTTAATCACGAACACAGCTGCCTACGACAAGTTTCGACAGATTGCGGAATCCTCCAAAGATAAGCTGATTCAACTTGGTTTTCCGAGCTTCACATTGGAGGACTTCCATGGAACTGTAAGTCGATAACGTTGCACGCACGAGAGTTGTCTAATAAATTGCATTTATTGCAGTTTATGGATGTTATTAATAGAGTTAGTCCAAATAATATCGGTGGAATTGAAAAGAATCAAAGCGAGCTGCACACCATCTTCAACGAACAGGGCTATTCGGACTATGTGATTGTGTATCTGCGTTTGATAACCTCCGGCAAACTGCAGGAGGATGCCGAATTCTATCAGCACTTCATCGAAGGTGATATGTCCATCGAAGAGTTTCGCCATCAGGAAGTCGAGCCAATGTTCAAGGAATCAGATCACATACACATCATCGCGCTATGCGCAGCCCTCGGCGTGGGCGTGCGTGTCGAATACCTGGACAGAGCCGAAGGTGTCAATGTCAAGGCACATGATTTTCCCGAGGGAACTCAGCCTATGGTTTTTCTCATCTACAGACCTGGCCACTACGACATACTATATCCGAACTGATTTTGACTAGCTCGAAAATTAAATGCTGCCAATATGAACCAAATTAGTAATACGTTAACGAGCGATTCAAAAACAAACAAACAAAAACATAACAAAAAACGCCAGCTGTTAGCAATAAAGAATAGAAGCATAATTTTGTTGTACTTGGATATCTCTTAGCGAAGCTTGGCTGATCTTAGGGCATTGTCATCTAGCAGCATGATTATCTTGAGCGAAGCTTGGCTGATCTTAGGGCATTATCATCTAGCAGCATGATTATCTTGGGCGTAACAAAATTTATAAATATATGAGGTGAACTTGTCTGGCTATATAAATATATGAGCAATACATAGTCGAACCAAATTACTCTCTCATAGATAAGGGACTCAGTGTTTTGTAATAAACAAGTAAGCACGTTGCAGCGGGGCTCAACCGGCTGCTTAATACTCGCTTGCAGCAAATCTTATAATAAATTCAGGTTCGAAGAAGTTGAATGGATCGTGGTTAATGGAGAGTGTAAGCAGTAATACTTTAACTTTTACTTTTTTCGTATAGGCCACTCACCCAAGATTGTTGTCTTATCTATTATCTATCTTGGGGTATCACTTGCTTGCTGTATAATAAAGTGATTACTATAAATATATATATATAAATATATTTAATCTGAATTTGACTAACACTAAAATGCTGCATATTCAGTTATAATCAGCTATATATATTTGCAGCAAGAAATTTAAATAATATTGTACTTGAACTTGAGTTTTTGGTAGTAGATCTTACGGTATATAATCTGTCTGACGACTGCTTGATAACCTCACTCGTACTTGAGCCTGTTAATGACAGTCAATTTTCGCATTGTCTATTGTCCATAGTCTTTTTAATTGTTTAGAATTTGTTCTCACAGCTGTTTGCTGCGGTCATTGAACATTATTATTTTACATGATCTTTAGGTCTAGTTTAATACAATTTACACTTCATTTTAAAAGTGTCTACAAGTTAGATATACTATTAAACTAATTGCTAAATTACATGGGCCTCAGCAAGGCAAAGACATACACTCTCACACACACTCACACATACATGTATAATAAAAAATGTACACAAACACACACTCACGCAGACATTAGCTAATTTAAAGGCATAATCAAATACTCATTATGAGCTCGTTCTATGTTCTATATATATATATATATATATTCCATTCCTATTACCAGACGACACTTCGCACTGCTGCTGGCAGTCCACAAATCGCATTATGCACGGGTATTGCCAGGAATCCGGCCAGAGCAATGCCATATGAATCGGATTGTACGACCATGGACATGGCGAACTGTTGGCGACCCGGCGCTATTTCCTTGGACATGCGATAGAAGGTGTTGACATAGGCACCGCCGCCCAGCAGACCCTCCCACAGCACAATAACGAACACAATCCAAATGGTGGGCGTGTAGAACCAAATGACTTCGGTCAGGAAGTAGATAACGTTGATGAACTGGAACACGGACATTAGCCAGATTTTATTCAGTTGGAAAATGTTGACGGAGGAGCGTGATATAAACACGCCTATCTGATAGTCCACATTCAGCCAGCGATACTGAGACGCCTTATCCAGGAAGATGTTCTCAAAGTAAACCAGCTCGAACTGTGAAGAGAAGCAATCAAATCAAATTGGAATCGTAAGCGAAATGCGTTAGTCTCAAACACTCACCAGTCCCTGATTGATAAAGTACTCGAAGAAGTAGACCAGGCACAGTGGAATCATATACTTAAACAGATGCTTAATGTAGGACAACTTCTCCTTGAAGCCCACCAAGGGCTTATCGTCGCTTATAAGCTCCTCGGTCGATTCTACCGTGGTGACGGGCAAGACTTGAGGACGACGCAAGAGCAGCCAAAAGGCACACGCTTCAATAGCAGGAAATATTAACATGATCAGCATCGTGTCGCGTGGACTGAATTCCAGAGAGCGCAGCGTCGCATAGCTGAGCGAGCCAATGACTCCTGCGCCGCCAGTGCCCGAGGACCAAGTCGATATGACATTTCTATAAGGGCAATGTTTAAGTAAGCACGGTCAATAGTAAAATGGCAAAACTCACTTGTTGAAGCGCGAGGAGTAAGCCAGGAAAGTTGTTTCGCCAATGCCGCTGCTAGCCGAGGTAATAATTACACCGAGCAGTGCCATCCATTCGGCATTTGCGAAGCCCACAAACAGAAAGCCCGCTGCCGAGCAGGCAACCGCTATGCCAATGCGTGTACTGTAAGAGAAAGGCAGTTAACAAGGTTTCATATAGAATCTGAGAGCAAGAGACTCACTTGACCCAGAAGGGAAAGAAGGGCATAAGAATTTTGACAAACAGCGAAGGTAAGACATCGGCCAGCAATATGGCGCCCGTCGATACCAAATGGCACTCGCGCCCCGTGCCCGCAGCTTCGCCGTCCCCGACCTCAGGCTAAACAGAGTATATATTATTATATATATAATAATTTCAATATATAATCTACAATCAGAGCTCACCTCATCATTGAACTGTGCTATGATATCGTGCGCAGCACTCAGCATAACCACGTAGCCATAGTTGTTGCACAGACCTAATATCCAATAGGCAGTCAGATCTCGCCATAGGCTGCGATCGTGACGTATGCTGTGCGTTGCACCTGTCGGCGTAACCACCACCTGGGGATTATGGTCGCTTTCCTCTGCCTCCTGCTGCTTGCTGGACGCTGACATTGTGGGCAGGATTACTGAAAGCGTAACAGACTTTGGTTTAACAAAACTCAGCTGCCGAAAATTTAATCCAGCTTTGATAACCTGCCAGCAATTCACGCTCATTTCTTTATATACATCTCTAGCCATTTAGCCAACTTTCCGAACTGTTCTTTATAGCGACCTTAAGCTGACTTGGCCTCTAATTAGTTCATTATTACAAAAGCTCTTTCCGCATTTAGCCTCAAAGCTTTGCTTTCTTTAATAACTTATTTGTTTTCTGTGTGTGGGTGTTGGGAGAGCTTTACTTAGTAAGCTGAACATGTGCGTCTGCGGTCATGAATTTTTTCATTGAGCAAGTTCAACTTAGCCGCACACATTTTGCATGATGCAAACGTGCTAGCAATGCTAATAAACTGTACGAATGATGCAACTTTTTAATAGCCGTTAAGTACTGTAAATGAAGCAGGATATATTACAGTCAACAAAAATCAGACTATTATTTTTGAAGTATTAAAATCTGATTCTGAAACCGGAATAACATTCTCACATATGGTTTTCGAGTTTAATTACATTTTTGAAAATGTTCGGATTGTTCTAGAAAACCTTTTCAAATTCCCATTTGCTTATGTAGTTATTAAATATTTTTATACTCTATAGTATCTAAAGGCGCTCTAGTTTAAGACTCCATTAAAAATTTTCCAATCGCTTTAATTTTATACTCTGTCAAAGAAATATTTACATGGCATACACGGCGTAATATTGCATTAACTGCATTCATTAACACTTAGCGGCTAACAATAAATAATTCAATAAAATCAAGCAAGTTATACAATCGAAAGCACACGATATTGTTTATAAGATAAGGTCATTAGTAATTTATATATGCATAAGACGGATATATAAACAGTCGTATACCAAATATAAATAATATAAATATAATTCATATTTTATATTTTATGGTTGTGAAGCATCAATACTTCTAATACAAAAGATTCGATAACCTGTGCCTAATCAATATACATAGCTTTAAGTAATAAAAATGTTGGGCTACAGCCGATAAGAATGTTCAATAAGCTTTAAGTATGGCTTAACGTGTAACGTTAGGCATGTCATATTTGAGACTTACAATGGCAGAAGTTTTTTTAAGATTCTCATTCCGAATTCAATAAATTTCGAGATATTTTCGTTTCATTCTCTCTTACAATGAGCTCTATACGAAGGGAAGGCAAAGGGAAATAAAACACAAGTTTCCACTTTGTTTACAGACTCAAGTCGCGTTAATTTATTTGTTACTCTAGCCACTTTTAAATGTACAGCACGTAAATCAGTTCAATAAACTTTAGCATCTATTAGTGATTCCCATATTCCAAGCCTATAAATCATTTTTATAATGTAATTTGATTTTGATAAACATACTTTTAAAAAGGTTTTATAAGTTCTTCTACTTCATACAAGGCTATAAACTATTTTTTAATTAATATGATTTGTGACCACATTGTTGTTAAGCACAAAGTATATTTGTGATAAGATTACAGGATATCTTTCATAAATCATAACTTGTTTTAAATGCCCTTATTTAATTGAGTTTTAATTGTGAATATTGTGTGCGATTGACGCAAATTCTTGGCAAATATTTGTTTTGGCGGTTTGTTGCTTTAAATCTCGGTTTATGGCTATGCAAATTGACTTTTGAATATCATTGTTGGACCTGTCAAAAAAGCCAAGCTTTTTATCAAGTGCGTCAGTCTGTAAAGATCTATTTGCGGCTCAGTCAGACAGGCAGCAATTAGACATTGTTATTGATGTTGTATCGTGTAAATAAATGCCTTTAAATTGTTTGGCAAAAACAATAACAATAATTACTAACTGGAAATAATCTATATTATTTTAATTTGTTTCTCATTAAAATAGAATTTTTAGTTTGTTTTTTTTTTAGCATTTAAAGGCACTTAAGAGGGGTCGAACTGTGCCCGGATGTAAGTGGATCCAAAATAGTTTGCCTTAACTTGACAATTATTTTGGCAAAGCACGTCGCATGGGCAAAGTACAAAATGTTTGATTTGTTTACAAACCCAAAAACTTGTGACTTGATAGAGAATGAAACAATAAGTAAATGAAAGATACGCCAATAAAAATAAATGCAATAGCCAATAGAGAGAGAGGGAGAGAGCGAAGTGACTAAATGGGCGGTTGGTACAAAGGTGGCTAGAAAGTTGCGGCGCTTGATCAATTGTATCTAATCTAATTATCTCAGCGTGTTGCTTGGATGCCGCTGCAACTATGTGACCTTGTCAATTCTACAGATTAGCGACTAAATTGTTTAGCTGAATAGGTCCACGTGTGAACTATCCAATTGGGAATAATTAAAGCAACAGCTATAATGTTTCAAACAGGTCAGGTTCTCAATAAAAATAATCAAACTATAAATAATTCCATACTCGAGCGCATTCTCAATGTTGACTCATTCAGGTGCGCTCACACCTAGTCGCAGTCAAGTTGTTGACCCAATTTTGTAAGACAATCCCAGCTTAGTTTTCACTTTCATTTGGCATAGCCAGCGATTAACCTGACACCCCGACAATTTCAAATCAAAAATTTATTTTGAACTATAACTGACAATGTAAATCGAGACGTGAGTTTGCGACATTTGCCTTGAGTTTGTAATTTATGCCAGAGCAACACTTTTTGCTATTCACATTCATTCTCCGGCTCTTCCTTATTAGTTTTTCAGTATATAGGAACTTTAAGTTTTATTTAGGTTGCGAAAGAAGATATGCAAAAAGTTGATAAACATTTTTTCTAGGTTGCGAAAAGCAAAAATTGCATTCATTTTTTTTGTTTATATACTGAGCAGCCAAACTTGTTAAAAAAACGAGTTATATTGCACGACTAAAAAGAATTAAATAGCTCTTCTAAGTAGTATATATAATGTCAAAATGAATTTAAATACAAATCAGTTTTGAGTTTGAGATTTTAAGCAAAATTTGAATCTATCAAATAGTTTTTTTTAAGAAATCAAAAAAAAACTAGCTTAAAAGATATTTAAATAAATATACAATAAATTCTAAGACCCTAAAAAGTTTTTTAAACTCAAAACTCGGTGCAATTTAAACAAAATAAACATATAACTTTTAATTTATAGATTGTTAATTTATGAACACTTCGCTGCATTAAAAATGTAAATTCAATATTTTGGAAACGTTTAATAAACTGTTGAAAAGTTTCAAATTTAAAAGCTTTTATTTTACAAGTTATTTATTATATAGTATTATTGTATCTATAAAATATATGTTTATCAAATTATTTATTTTTTTATTATATTTTTCTTAAGTATTTTTTACCCGTTATTTACACCTTTTGCAGCGCTTGTTGCTTTATGGTATTTGCTGCGACAAATTCTTTATTAACGGTCGTATATGTCTGCTTTCAAAAGCTGAGGAATTGTTTTTAAGAATTTCAGATAACGTAGTCGAGACGACGACCCGTTTCGCGCGTTTTAACGTTTCACGAGCGACTGAATCTGAGTGAACCGCCCACTTAATGAGCAAACCCACAGCGATGTCTCGTTTATTGACAGCGGCAGCAGCAACGCCAGCGACGACTACGTTGAACGGCAAAGACCCCAAGCGGTAAAAAATCACGCGAGTTGCGAGCGGCAGCATAAAAAGTCGACGTAGAGCGACTGCAGCAAGAAGTACCAAAGTGTCGATCAGGCAGTTAACTATGCATATATAAATATATATATATATATATATATATATATATATATATTAGAACTGATTCTCTAAGTATTATTTTAAATACATTTGGCTATGAATGAAAAACGCGACGTGAGTTAAATAGAATTACGAAAACTTTAAAGGGCCACAAATGGGGTTCAATCAGCAGCTCAGCAATGTCAAATGTTTACGTCGTTGTTGTTATTCTGTTTATATTACAGCTGGTGTTGAAGCGTTTTTATGAATTTATAATGGCGTTTATACATACATACATTTATACTTAAAGTATATGCTTTATTTTTGGCACGCAGTCAACGCTCTTCTTATTTGTACTGCTATTGTTAATATTTTGTCAAGCAGTTTACCGTCTAACCTGTCGTATACGCAATGCGATATAAGCACAGACACCTGACAAATCTGCATAAAGGCAGATGTTTATTTAAAACAGTTATATTGTATTCAAATAAACTTGAATTCTTCTTCTACACGTCTGATTTAAATTTATTCGTTAATTTTATGTGGATCACAGTTTTACTGCAGGATTACAATATAAAGTTTAAGGGCCAATCCAGTTGAAACCTTATCGAGCACATTTTATATTACCCTATAATCACTTGCAAGCCTGGCGCTTTACGCTTAAGCGCGTCCAAACGATGAAAGCCAACTGAATGTGTCAAATTCAAGTTAAATACTTGAGTACCAATTGACATCATTATCATTAGCTTTATCAGAGTACTTCACGGACATAGATTAAAACGCGGTTGCAGGCAATAACAATCCGATAAGATGTACACAGGGCACGAGCTATATAAATCTTAAGATATCAGTCGAGACAACGTTTAGCAACAGAGTTCGTCGACTAGTGTATTCAATTACTAAGCAACGCATATATGTTCTACACACTACTAGTTGATATGTGTAAAGGGGCTAAAATTGAATGTTTATATTTAGAAATTTAAATTTCCAGATGCCGTTTTAAATAAAACCATTTGCGCGCTTGTTTAGCACGTACACAAAACCGCTGAAAACAATTTAATACCGCAGCCGCAAAGTATGCAACTAAAAATTCTTGTGTGCTATACGGTAGTCGACTTTAAGCTACCCTCTGCTATGCAGCTATACATAATGTAAACATTTTGATTTATTAAAAAAGCTTTCCGCTGAAATTAATAAATGCCATCCAAGCTTTTCATTATATTTAAGCTGTAGCACACCACTTCTTCAGCTTTAAAATGTATTACAAGCAATTGTACAATTGGAAGTACTTATTCATAAATGACTTCTGACCAAGTTTTCCATTATACTTATACCGTAACATACCACTTCTTCAGCTTTAAATTATACCCCACGTAACTGTACATTTGCAAAGACGTAATATAACTAAATAAAGAGTGACCAAGTTTTCAATTATACTTACACAGAAACAAACCAACTCTTCATATTTAAACATTTTAACTGTAAAATTACAAATACTTGATATCCTATTGACAGTTTTCAATTAAACTTATACAGTAACAAACCACTTCTTCTGCTTTAGAGCATATTACAAATAACTTTAGAATTGTAAATACATTTCAGAATACTGAATAAGATTTCAATTATGCTTAACAAACCACTTCTTCAGCTTTAAAGCACATTACAAATAACTGTAGAATTGCAAATGCAGCGACAACCAAGAGCGAAGTGGAAAAAGGAGTAAGAGTGAAAAAATGGGAAACATGTTGTTGACAAACTACTGTATCGAATGCAACATGCGGTGGGAATTCTAAGAGCTGCTTGGGGGTCGTGTTGATGGGGTTTTGCAATACGAACAGCATTTTCGTTGTGCAACGCGGATAAGGGACAAATGTAAGTGTAGTAAATAATTTAAAATTGGCTGTCAATTTATCGTTCAACGTGATGTGCAGTGGATGCCAGAATTGTATTACAAGCTCCTCAAGGGATTGGACAACTTAAACAGCCTGTTGACAGCATGATTGAGATGCCAATTTGTCAGCGGGGTAGTAATTTGTCATACAGAAAAGGTCCCTAGGCTTTTCTTTGGTAATATATATTGTAAAAGCTATTACACTTAGCTTGTTTCATATTTTACTGTTCATTTCATAAAAGCACATCTGCGCTATGCTTATTTTTAGTTGCTGCGTATCAAAACGTTGCCACTTAAAAAAAAACACAAATAATTATTCTTAATTGCCGTCAATGTTTTTATGGTTAACCAACAATTTGCCACAGTTTTTCTGATTGTGCGACAAATCACATTATAACAGGCAGAGTTCGCAGGTCATAATCATCAAAGTCCAGAAAAATCACATGACAAAATAGAAGTAAATATATCAAATGATTGATTACTGTGCAGCCCAACAGTTCTCATCGCTTGAACGATAGAGAAGACGCACTTGACAGCTCTTTAAAAGAGGATTCCTGCCTAACTATTGCCACATTCAGATAACTATTTAAAGCTTGGGCTTATGTTTATCTCCGGCCACACGCAGAAACAGTTTACAATGGCCTTTTTTACAGCGGGCCACGAAAATGCAAATAGAATAGATGGCGGGGAAAAAATCATTGCCCAAACAAGAAACTTTTTAATGCAAATACGAAAATCGCATGAAAACACAAAAACGTGGTCCAGTCAACGAGGCGTGTGGCAATTGCATGGGTCTCCGACAACAGGAAGCGAAGAGACAACGGGTCGCTGCATAATTCCACAGTCGTTGGATGAGGCGAAAAGTTAACGGAAAGTGTTTTCACTTTTTTATTATTATTTTGCATAACAGCTTAAAGCGTTCTATATTCGTTTGCTAGGTGCGCGCTGGGTGGTGCAAGGTGTAAAATGTGAGCATTTAAAGCTTATTCTGAACGCTGCATATAACGCTGCCAGGCAAGCTCGAGCAATAGCAGCAGCACCACCAAAATGTAGCCACAGAGCAGCATGAAGAAGAGCGGGGCCACATATTCCATGCCCACGGTAATGACAAAGTTTTGTGAATAGCAGTGCAGCTTCATGCGGGCCCACCAATTACGATGCTTGCGATAGATGCCAGTCTCCAACACTCGCAGCAATCTGTGTAAAGTATATGTTATATAATTTATATAATACATTTACATACCATTTACCTTAAACGCACGAGTTCCTTGTAGCTGGAATTGCGATGCAGGTGGGTGTAGAGCAACAGCTCGGGTCGAAACAGAACCTCATTAAGATCACAAATCTCTTGCTGGGTATAGTAGCGTTCCACATACGCATATCCAGAGGAGGCCTCAAATATAAACACATAGCCAGGTCTGTCGCGTACACGTAGAATGCCTTGATCCGCGGGCAGCCAGAGCTCGGGATTGTGGGTCTGAGTGTCAATCTTGCGTTTGCTGAACAAATGAATCTCCGGGCGTTGCGAGTACTTGAAGAAAAGGACACAATTTATCAAATTTAGTATATATAGCTCATGTATACTCACATTTAGATAGCTCTTGGTAAATGAAAGCGGCTCAAGTCCAACTGTTAGCGAGCTCTCTGCCAGCTGTTGCACCGTCTTGATCTTAGACTTGACAGGCGAACTCAGGAGCGAGGAGACGACCACAGAGGTATAATAATTATACATTATAAAACTAATTAGAAACAGCGCAAAGTATGCCAAGCGTCCGCCCATGGAGCGCGGTGTTAGTGCCGAGCTCTGAATGCACGCAGCGCCGAAGCTAATCAGACAGGTGCTCAGCAGGGAAGGTACAAAGTCTAAGCGCCAACGGACACGCATACACTTGGACTCCATGTAGAACGTAAGCCACAGCAGTAGAGCGATCAGCAGCAAGATTGCAGCAAACAGAAACCAAACTACAGCGCTAAAAGGCTGCAGAAAGACATCGCCCCTTATGCCGGCATTATGAGGTGTGCGAAACAGGCAAATGGAGCGAAAGTAACCCGTCTCAATGATTGACGACAACAGATGCAGTCTGCCCGGTGTGGATAGACAGGGCGCCGAGCCAATATCGGCTGTGCCATCGACCACAGCGCCCACGGAGCCGCCATTGTAGTCGCCATAGCTCCAACGATCCTTGAATGTAAAATTCATGCTGGTGGAATAGAAATCCCTGATTTAAACTACACTGAAAGGCATAATTCTTAAATACTTGCCCACACTGCAGCAGATCCTTGAGTATCAGGGTCAAATGAAACCCAAAGCGCGCGATGCCGTCGATATGTGTGTCGTTTATTTGGTTGAGAAAACGCAGCAGTTGTTCCGGCGGCCAACTAATGGGTCGCTGTGTCACCACCGTAGCCACGCGCAGCACCACATCCGTCAGCTGCTCCCGATTGCCATACCTGGAACGCAAATGCAATGAGCTGAGATAGCGAATGGCGCCGCACCTCGTCTCATTGCAGCCGAGCTCATAGTTCACTGTAATATTAAGCTGCCCGCCAATGTGGTTGCCATTGCTGTAGACATCATATAACGTATAGATAATGGTGCCACTATTGTCTGCTATGTGCTGCTTAACATAGCTGACATCAGCATCTATAGATATGTTTGTAGGCTTAAAGAAATCATAAAAGTTGAATGCATCCGAGCTGTCGTGCAGCATCCAATGATAGTGCTGATTGTAGAGTCGTGCTCGACTCGCCTGCGAGTCGTATATTAATACTAATTTTGATATCGAACGTGTTTTATATCTACCTCCGCTAAGAGACTTCTGCTTCGCAAACAACTCAAGTCCACATAAATAGCCAACGTGGGCTGTGCGTGATCCAAATAACGTTGCTCCAAGTGCTCCCAGTTCCAGTCGTTCAAATGGGCAAACTGATAATAGATGGGCTGATGATGGGGTTTGTGGACTTGTTGTGTGAATTGTAAAGCTGCAAAACGCTGAAAGTTAATACATATGGACTTTGGTGATAGCCAAACCCCGCCCACTTTCATTGTTTGCCCAGCAGTGAAAGAAAATTATGAAACTTATGCGCGACTGCAGCAAATTCTGCAGCACAAAGTTGGCCAATTGCAACAGCTGCATTTTGTTATTGCCTCACAGCGAGATTTGGGCAGTGCGTTTTATAGTCGCTTCTCAAGCAATTTAGTTGTCCTGTGTCACCTGCCTGTCAATTTGTTTGCTCAAATTGCACGCCAAACAAGGTAAATATGATTGGCCATTAGGAGCACTTGCCTTAATGACGCGCCGCATGTTGCTGCCGTCTGTGCCACAATATTTCCAGAGCCAACACAAATAGACACACAACGTAGCCACAAGTCAGCAGCAGAAACAGTGGTCCGGCGGAGTCCATGCCCACAACGACATTTCTATTGCTATGATAGCAGTGCAGCTTGTTGCGCACCCAATAGCGAAAGTACTTGAAATGAATTCCAGTTTCCAGCATACGAAGTTGGCTACAAATATTTCAATATTAGCATTTCGCACAATAATCTATGCTCTATGACCTACTTTAGCTTTAACAGTTCAAAATAGCTGGAGTTTTTGACCACCATAGTGTAGGCGTTTGTCTCGTCCCGTAGAAGAATTTCATTAAGCTCGCAGATCTCGTGGGGCAGAAAGTGCTTTCGCACAAATGTATATGAGCTGGACGCCTCTGTAATATAGACAAATCCGGGAATGTTGCGCACCATTCGGACACCCTCCTCCGAGGACAGCCAAATGCTTCTCGTGTCCCGCTTGCTGTTTAGAATCTTGTTCAAATATAGACTACGCACATCGGGATAGGTTGATGTCTGAATGAAACTCTTTAAATATGTTTTACGATTTAATAGTGAAGCATAATTTACCTCTATGTAGACTTTAGTATATATTGTTGGCTCGACGGATACCTCGAGGTTGCTATCCGCAAGCTGTTGAATGGTTCGAATGTTCGATTTGGGTGGATCTCCCAGCAGCGTCGATACCACAACTGATGTGTAATAGTTATACAAGAGGAAACATGTCAACATAACAGCATAGAACACCATGCGACCGCCGGTGGAACGTGGCAGCACCCAAGCGCCCTGAATACAGGCGGCGCCAAACGACAACAGGCAGCTGGTAAGAAGCGAAGGTTTCATGTCCATGTGGTTTAATCGACGCTCTAGACGAAATGTCATCCAGAGTAGAAATCCAGCAATCACCAGAAGAGAACCAAACATAAGCCAAACAGTCCAACTAAAGGGCTGAAGGAACTCCGAGATGCGTAGTTCAACGGCAGATGATTTCGGATTGAGGAACATGCACATGGACCGAAAAGAAGACAGCCAGGTCATTACTTTAAAGTATTTCAAACGTCCAGAGGTGATGAGGAATGCATTTGCTGTGACATCTACGCTTTCATTGCGCATATCCGCTAAAAGGCCTCCTGTCAATTCCGAATCTGACCAGCGATCACGAAATATAAAGCTATAGCTGCAATAAAAAAGAATTCATAGAAACTCATTTTCGTTTATGTGTATATGAATGTGTAATATCTACTTGCAGTCCAGCATATCCCTAAGCACTAAATGCGTCTGGTAACCCAATCTTGCAAACGCATCATTATTCAAATCATCGCTACTCATAAGAAACGCGTTCAGCTTTGAATGCGGAGTGTTGAGCGGCAGCGCGTTAATCTGCCAAGAATAATTATTAATTTAAAATATGTGAATGCATATAAATATATATATACATATTTATATTTATATTTATATTAATATCTTTTTATGCCACATACCACTGCATTCACCCTTAAAGTTAGGCCAGTCAGATACCTACGCTGCTGCAGACGATTTCTCTTATGCAGATCGCTTAGATAGTGGCTTAAGTAACAATGCTGATCATTGCAATTGATTTGTCGATCTATAGTTATATTCAGTTTGGCGCCTATATGTTTTCCCTTGTTATACAGATCATAGAGGATGAAGCTATCGAGCTTGGGGCTTGGCTCCACATATGTCAATTCTGTGCCTATATAAAGTTGCGCCACATCAAATTGTTCATGAACTTTACTCAAGGTAAAGTACTGATCGTAGATAAGCCAGTGATAGCGCTCAACAAAAAGACGCTTCACATTGGCCTGGAAAAGGAGAAAAAACGATAAACGTATTTATAAAATTTAAATTTAAAAGTATATTGATATGGTTACAAATAATAATGCAAAGTCATTGTCCCCTTTGAAGGTCAATTGAACTGGCTTTATCGTTTACTATATTTTGAGCGATTAATTCTAAGCGAACCTCATAACTCATTCATCATAGTCATATGCATCGAGGCGCTGGGTAGGCTCAAGCCAAACTGAACCGCTTCTCGCTTTCATTTTCTTGTCATATTTCTGTACCTACAGCAGTATTTGGCTGCCTTATTTATGCTAATGACACGTACGAGTCTTTCAACTTTCGAGTTTACAGTTACAATCTGTTTCATATACTGTGTACGCTCACAAAATTGGGCCAATCACAGCAGTGCTCTGAGGTACATCTGTGATTGGCTGTTGAACTTATATTGCTGTCTCTTTTGTTTTCAAGCTTGAACTTATGTTAGGATCTTAGTTTATTATTATTAGAATACACGCACAAAACAAAATATCACCGCACTTTTATTAACCTAGCAATTTCTAGTGTTTGAGAGAAAAGTAGGGCTTAAGAATCTTATAATGCTGTTCAAAAACTTTTCTAAAAATATAAATTTCCATTAAAGCAATTAATAGACTGCTTACCATAGACAAGACATCCACACTCTGATGACAATTGATATCCAGATAAATGCCCAGTTTGACGAGATTATGGTTCACAAGTTTATCTTGCAACTGCTCAGCTAGTGGATGTGTGTAGTTAAGGTTTATATATTGAGTGTAAAGCATTTCCTTGCTGGCTAATTGTGCAAAGTGAAAAAGTGCTATAAATAATGAAATTAATATTGTTTAAGAAATATTTTTATAACTGTCAACTCACAGTCAGTTGTCCAACAATGCAAAAATAATATATTATTTAATTTTGCAATATGCAAAAAATAGTATAAAATAAATTGAGATACAAACATTGCGTTAGAACCGAACAATTAAACAGCAGTTTAGCTAATAATGCCGTCAGTTATTAATCTGGCCTTTTATAGGACCCCATAATGAATAGTTAATAAATGTCAATCAAATTATGACACTTGACAGTTAGTGACAGTGCCGTGAAAGCTTGCCTACAAGCGATACGAACTGTCTTAGCCCTTAATTGAGCATTTATAATTTATTTTAAGATTACTTTCGAAAGCATGTATCAATAAATGAATTAATGGAAGAGAAGCTTACCTAGTTAAAGTTGTCTGTATACTTATGAATATTGACTATTCTTCTATGAGCAAACTCTGCGTTTGGCGTCTGCCCAAGTAAGCCCAGCCTAGTTCCAGCATTAAGGTGATAATCGCGGCCAAATAGGAGAGTAGCAGACCTATGAAGAGTGGAGCTGCATACTCCATGCCCACTTTGATGACATAGTTGTTAGCAAAGCAGTGCAACTTGGTCTTGGTATAGAACAACTTATGCTTCTGCGTGATGCCAGTCTCCAGCATGCGTACTTGGATTTGCTTCAGTAGCTCCTTGTAGGTGGAATTCTTGGGCACAACTGCATAGACATTGCTCTCCGGACGGAACATGATTTCATTTAGTTCACATATTTCATGTGGCAGATAGTACTTCTCTATAAAGGTGTATAGGTTTGAGGCTTCCGAGACGAAAACAAAACCAGGCTCATCGCGGGCTCGGAGCACACCGTCGTTGACAGATAGCCAGATTTTGCTGGGATCATGTCCGTCCACTTTGCGCTTAACCAGATCCCGTATATCGGAACGTGGCGAGCTCTGGAAGTGAATTCATTTGGGCGAGCCTAACTTAAACGGATTTAACTTACATTTAAATATGTTCTAGTAAAGGGTATTGTTTCGAAGCCCACATCCAAGGAGCTATCGGCCAGCTGTTGCATGGTTTTAATATTGGAGCGCACCGGCGAGCCCAATAAGGTCGATACCACAATCGATGTGTAATAGTTGTACATGAGAAACGAGGTCATCATGAGTGCTATGAATGCTAGACGTCCACCCGTCGAATTTGGTATCAGATGAGAGCCCTGAATGCAGGCAGCGCCAAAGCTAATCAAACAACTGGTCAATAGCGACGGTATATACCGCATACAGTGCTGCATCCAACGATGCTCCAAACGAAATGTTAGCCACAGCAATACGCCGGCAAGGATCAGTAGAGCTACAAAAACTAGCCAAACACTGAACTTGAATGGTTCCAGAAAGACGCCGGCTTTGATGCCGGCATTGTGTGGAGTGCGGAAGATGCAAATTGAGCGAAATTGGCTTATTTCCATGGTGGCTAAGATGTAGCGTAGTCGTTGAGATGAGAGCACAAACGGCGATGTCGACAGTTCTGCATTCGCGTTGCTTATTTCTCCTATGGCACCACCTTGGCTATCATTTACGCTCCACAGATCTCGCCAAATGTAACTTATGCTGTTAACAATTGAGAGATGGTTTTAAGCTCTTTGGACTTTTAAGCGGCAATCCAACTTACTTGAATCTCAGAACTTCCTGCAGGTGCAAATTATTGCGATAACCCACACGCGAGGTCCAATCCAAGTGTACGTTATCTTCGCTATTCAAAAAGTTGAGCAGCTTCTCCTCACCCAGGCTCAAAGGCATAACAGTAACCTACAGTAAATCAGTGGTAATGCAATGTAGCCTAAACTGCGTTTATCTTATTTAGTAGTTAAGCTTACCAAGGCCACTTGTCTAAACGTAATTCCACTCAAATCCATGCGTTGCTGCACTCTGGTTCTTTTGTATAATTCACTCAAATATTGCTTGAGTTCACATTTAGTTTGAGTGCAGTAGATGCTTTGATCTATTGTTATATTCAGCTGACCACCCAATTGACTACCTGAGTTGTAGGCATCGTAGAGTGTAAAGAGACTGTCATAATCAACGATTTTCTCTTCTTTCACATAGGTCACATCCGCATTTACGCTGAGATTAGCTTTTGCAAAGAGTTCCACAAATCGTTCCATATTCCCAGATTTATCGTAGAGCAGCCAATGTAAGTTTTGTGTATAAAGCTGTGCTCGACTGGACTGTAAGAGGTTTATATACCATTATTATTATTTAAAAATAATATAGAAACTAATTCAATTACCTGATTAGTTATAAAATCGCTTTGCTCGCAACTCATGTCTAAGAAGACGCCCAATTTAGTTAAGTCACTATCCAAATAAACCTTGGTAAAATTAGCTAAGCGCTCGTTGGACTGATTCAGATTTATGTATTGAGAAAATATTAAATTGTGAGAGAAAAGTTGGCCCAATGGCAAAAGAGCTAGGGAAAGAGATAAATTTGGGATTATATATTTTCCTATTTATAAATTGATATATATTTTATTTAAATCACTCAAGATTAATCAATCATTTACCTGGCAACTGCCAACAATGAAATATGAGCACATTTCTTAAATTGATTTGCAGCAAATTGTATACAATAAAATTATATAATGCTAAATTTGCCATCTTGAATTGCACTGCTCCACGAAGCGAGGCTAAGAAGCGCTTTTATAGCTGCCCAAAAAATTGCGCCATTGTCAATTATACAATTAAGTTATTATACCAAATATTTAAGCTGTCTACCAAAAATTTGATGGACAGACTACCGCTCGCTTGGCAGGGGGTATACTCCAAATACTTTGGAATCGCAACAGGTGCAAACACATTTGGCGCGTCATAACAGAACGCACGTGTTTGGCAAGGCGCCTGCGCAGAAGCGCAAACGTAAACAGTAGTCAAAGTCAGTCACATTTATGAATGAAGCCACCCGCACACACACACACACGCATAGCGTGCCTTCTTCTCTCGTCGCTGCAGTGTTAATGGATTTCTGCCTTGATTTAGCCCGCTGTGGCAGGGCGTCACTGATTTTGCGCCTTTTGCATGTCCGTGAATGTGTTGCCCCGCAGCAGCTTCTGCCTGTTTCTGTGTGTGTGTGTTGGTGTTTTATGCTGTCGGCATATACCCAGCTGCACAATTGAATCTTGGCCAACGGTTGGGTTTTAATATCGTTTCAGTTGGCGTTGCGCGCTTGGCGCGTCTCGACGTATTGCTGTGTCCAATTCTCACACTAAGCGGGCGGCGCATTAAGCACTCGTTTTCCACTTTGATTCCGTTATCTGTTTGCTTGTTTGTTGTCAATTCTTATTGTTGTCGTTGATGTATTTTCGCCGCCGGCGCTGCAAAAAAAATGAAGAAATATATATATATGTATATATATATATTTGCTGAGTACTTTTAGGTGATTAGTAGTGGATTACATAGCGACAGCGGCGATTGATTGAAAAATTAATTGAAAAAATCGGTGCTGGAGGCGTAATGTATTAATAAATAAAAATCAAGTGTTGGAAATGAATTACAATAAATATTTTTATTTAATATCGAATGCGACTTAAACAATCGGTTATGAAGACAATGTGGCGTATGCGTAATGTGTTAAAAATATTTTAAAAATTGTTTGAATCTATATGTGAGCGGTTATTAAATCATTAAACCTATAAATTACTAAACAAGCTATGCATAATGCGATTTTTATAAATTCTTAAAATCAAAGCGTGTGGCATGGCGTATACGCAACATTTAAGCCTAATTTACTGTAAATTATGGGCATTTAAATTAGCTATTATATTTAGTCTTTTTCATTTCAATTTAATTACAAATTTAAAAAAAAATCATTCATTAAATACATGATTTAAATGCATTCTCGCATTTGCCAACATTTATTGAGAGCCAATTAGAATGTCAAAATCAACAAAACTAATGCTAATTTAAAATTGAAGACAGTTGACCCAATAAGCTGACAAATGCCCAATTAAAACTCTTTACAGCTATAAAACAAACCCCAAATGCATTAAAAATCAATTGCGAATGCGGTCGACCCGCACGCGAACCAAATGATAAATGCGAAAACCACAAATATGAAATGTACAAAAAAATAAAAATAGAAATAAATGTAAATAAAATTGCTCATTATGGGAGTTAGAAATCTGATAATAAACTCAGTCAGTAAATATGTGGTAAATATATATGCACTGCTGCAATTGCGATTCTGGTCAACCAGGCAAATCATTAACACAGATTTCAAGTTTCCCCCACGGCTTTGCTCTGACTGCAGTGCGAGGGTGAAGTGTGTGGCGGCTGCTGTTATTTACGATTGTGATCAGATGCACTTAAGCTTATAAAAATAATATTTAAGTTTAGATTTGCATAAGTAAAAACTGCAAATATATATATTTATTTATAAATTTGAAAATAAATTTTCATATGCATCCATTTAGCTCACGCTTTTCCTTTTAAACTGACTAACGCAAGTTTTTCGTTTAATTCTGACACTTTATATTTCCTTTCCTTAATTTTCTCTTGATTCTGTCTACATTTTTCGACAGCCGCCGCGCTACAAAACAACTCTCGAATAGGCAAATGCAAAGCAGACTCAAGTATAAAAAAATATAACAAAAAGAAAAAAAAGCTGGGCATCGCACGCTTGAGATTTACATTGTAAAGTGATGCGCTTAGCTTTTTACCCCATTCCACAGGCAGCAAGAAAAATCTGTTTGCTTGTGAGTGTGTGTGGCATGACACAACAGCCTAACAAAAACTGCATTTAAATTAATTGAATTTGCCTGATTTTTTTGCGCTGCCTGTGACCTGAGGCGAGCCCCTGTACCCGTCTGTTTGTCGAGCTTAACGCTTTGGTCTATAGCTTTTATTGAATTGGTTTGGGGATTTGTTAGTTGACCCACAAGTCAAGTTGATGGCCCCCCTATTCGGTCTTCCATCAAGCTTACTAAAGGGCCCTCTCTCAATCTGCCATGCATTTTGTGTGTCATTATGCGTTTGGCCACAGCAGTGCATCTATTTGTATCTATTTGTTACATTCTTCTCCGTCTTCTTGGGGATCTTGGGACGAGATGTGTTCATTAAATTTACAAGCACGCTGAAATGTTTTTGTTTACCTATGAAATTCATTTAGATATTTGATTGCTGTAAATTGAATGTTTTGAAAATAATACATGAGGATTTCCTAATGGATATTTGACAAAGATTTTGTGCACTTGACACTGGAGAGTTTTTTGAGAAGTACCGAAAAGTAGATTGATGTATTGATTGGATTATTGTATTTACATAAGAACTTGTTAATCTTGATTGATGTAATTGAATCTTAATGAATTGACTGTTACCCTAAGATATTGATAGGTTGTTATTTTATCTAGATTAAGATGTGACTAAAGTTAGAATTCTCCCAACTGACTGTTACTTTAATTGGTTAGAACTAACTAAAATATTAATTTATTTAATTTAATTTAATTGAAAATTAACTCTCTATTAAAATGATTTTATAACCAGCACAGCAAAGAACTTTAGCGTAAATAATATATTTGCGTATATATATATACATATCCATATGCCAACTAAAACATGTAACGATTGTTCAATTCGAGTGTGCTTGACTAGGATATACCCCATCTACATCTATTCACTAAATTATAAGTTATTAGTTACTCAAACATATGCTCAAATAACTGAATTCTTTTCTTACTGGCTATGGGAAATGTGAACAATAATATAAAGTTAAATTAATCTATAGAGCCACAAAATGCGTCACATATCGAGTATATCTATTATAGGTTCCGAAATCGATGCTTTTATATAGAAGAATAAATCGTCGCACAGACCTCGACGCTTGCTCCTAATTTATGACTTCAGCAACGACTTCTACAATCGCTCCTCTTTCTCATTTTAAATATCTTCAGAGCTTAAAAATCAAGACTTTAAACTTTTTTAATGCATAATCTAATGTACAGCACTTGCAACTTAGTGCTTTCCTCATCAGCTTGGAAATTTATCAAATCTTTTCCTTTTTTCTTGTCAGCTTGAAGCACGTTTTCGCGTCAATCATTCCGCTCAATAAACATGTTCGCATATCAATTGATAACTCAGCTGAGCGTTAACTATTTCAGCTCTGCATTTTGTCTTAGCATCTACTCTACAGAAGAATGCACTCAGCAAAGCCAAATGCAAACATCCCAGTTCAAGTAAGGCCAGCAATTCAAGCACTCAGCTGTCTCCGCAGCTGTTGTGCGTGTTTGTAAAACGTGATACAGAAAGCCTGACCATGTTCTGGGCAGCACGTGCAGCAGCTCTGCTCGAAAATAATTACAACAATTGCATTATTTTATGCCTGAACTTCATGGAAATGGACCGCCCGCAGCAATGAGTCAAAAAACGCTGTGGCATAAATTTTTGACTTTCATTTAATTAAAATGCGCTTTTTAAAGCTACTTAGGTTAACTAGAAAACTTGTGGCCAACTTTTTGCTGTCACTGACAATGCAATTTCACACGCAGCCTAAAAAATGAATTCACTATAATATTCATATATATATATAAGCTTACATGCGTTGAGATTGAATGCAGAACTCGTTTGTGAGCAACTAAATAATGTCAGACTCAGGCTTGGGTTAGAGCTAGGGTTCAGGATTTTTTGCTATAGAAACCACCTGCTGCACCCACACAGGCAAAGCCAAAGGAAAATATAATAGACACAAGTTTATATATGCACCAGATGTTTAGAAATATGGTAGGAAAATGGGGCAAACAGACAGTCGTAGCTTGAATACTCTATGAAGCTGAAAGTTAGGCTAGAAATTGACTAGAAAAATGTTTTGTTTGGGTAAATGTAAAGATAATAAGTATATTATTTTTTTATTAACAGAAAAAAAATTACAAAAATATGAAATTGCTATTTTGACAAGGATTAGGATAATTAAAACAACTTTTACAAACGAATCATTATTGAAATATAATTCTAAAATAATATAATTTAATACCTCTGGGCATCATTGTGATTGTGTTTAGAAAAGGTTTTGGTGCATTGCTAACTCAATTTATACCCTGCAAGGACACATGCGGCTGATAACAATGCAGTTGGCAGAGCCGAAAAAAGGCGACATATTCTATAGAGTCTGGGCAGAGAAAGAAAATGGCAAATGGTGCTGAGCGGAAGCAGTGCCAGTGCTGAGGCGGGTGTAGCCTTCAAAAATTGAGTGCAATTTAGACGACGTTGATGAGAAAATGCGTTGAACGTGCTCAAGTTGTGCTCTACGCTTGTGGCCGGGTCCACATTTTAACCCTTTCGCCAGCTTAACAAAGGCACAAAGCGTTGGGCAAGGCGCGACGCGACGCGCGTCAACCAAACCAAGAAATTAGAAATAAAAGCTGATGCCGCTGCCTTTGCTTGGCTTGCTGGTTGGTTGTTTGCTGTTTGTTTGACGAAAAAGCGACCACAAGGAAAAATAAAACAAATTGTTATTAAAAAGGGAAGTGTGTGTATGGCTCAGATTACGGTACACAATTTATGATCATCTGCTTTATTTATGATGAAAGCCTATAGTATGGGACAGGCCTGAGTAGGGTACTCAAGCATCGAGTAGTTAATGCATTCCAGTCTTAAGTTAATTAGAGGCGAGAGATAGAGATTTTTGTTACTACTTTGTATGTATATATTTCAAAATGAAGTAAAATATTATGTTAGACTTAAAGTTGTTTTTTTTTTTGTTGTGAAAGCCAGTGGAGAATTATAATAAAAATTTTTATTTAATTTGGTTTGGTAACCTTTTTGTTAAAGACAAGAAGTAGTTGATAATTTCCATACAAAATCTATTTTGAGTATTAATAGCTAGAATACCTGAAATGCTATTCGTTTGAAATGTCCTATCAAATAAAAAATATTTATTTTCGTCTAAGAAAAACTTATCTCTATTGCAATGATTGCTATGCGGTGCTCAGCTCATGTGCCTATATCGTTTTGTATGTTGCTCGTACATTACACAATGCTCTCCATTAACTTAAGATAAAGAGATCCCAAAGAGGCTATTCCATAGTCATGCTTGAATAGTGGAAATAAAAAGTTTAGTTTTCAGAGAAGAACAACAAACTCTAAGCAGATCCACTAAGAAGTTCTTAAGGAGCTTATGCTAAAATAAGTCGAGAATTTGATTTTAATTTTGAAGTACTAAAATGAGTTGGATACTTAGCAATCAAGTACATTAAGCGGTCAAATATGAAGCACATCAATTTATATTATATTTTATAGAAAGCACAAATTTCGTTAGAAGTATAAAGCATTAATGGCATCAATATTATGAATAGCAGTTTCAATATCACTATCAATAGTATGAATAAAAGTTTCAGCCAATGGATTAGACATCAAGCGCTGCTTGAAAGCGTTTGAACTTTCACAAATTTTTCACATCCGTCAAGTGCTGGGTAAACCAAGCGAACATAATGCATATTTCCTTGCAACATAGTTAAAGCAGCTCAGAGTCTCAGGCTGGTCGCATACCCAATTAGCACGCACACAGCGCCTAATCAAGTGGCAAGTAACATTGACGAGAACACGAGGCCTCGATGCTGAGATGAGATGCACTAGCTAGCGCTGTAAGATGCTATCAGATGGCCGACTTGAAGGCAAGGCAAGGCAAAATGCAAGTAGTTGCACGGAACCTCCACTCACTATTCAAAATAGTTAACGCCACCTGATGCCTGATGTCTGATGTCTGATGCCACCTCAAACACGCACACTTACCAAATTAGGTTAGTGGGTGAGACGTTTAATCAACTTATGGGTCGCATTGTATTTTACATAATTAGATGGATGGATGGATGGTGTCCGCCTTGACGCCTACCAAGCCACTGGCCAAGTATGAGGACTTATTTAAGGACATGCCCCCTTATGCACTGACAGACCAGCTGACTGGCTGGCCTGCCTTTATGCTTAATGGCATTTGATTTTTCATTAACGGCTTGTGGTGCCGTTCGGTTGGGCTGCTTGGCTGGGCACTGTGCGCGTGTTTGTTCAATTTAATAACTCATCGTGAATAAGGTTAAGGGTTTGGCATGTGTAAAAAATTATTTAATCATTTTTTTTAAAATTATGTGCGCACAACGTGAGCTTCATGTGAGCATTAATCTTCGCACGAGTCCTGAATGTGTCGGTTTACGCCGCGTGTTGCTTGTGTGAATCAATCAAAAAATGTTGATTTTATATATATGAATGTAAACAAAAAATTTAATATAAATAATTTGAGCAAAAGACAATAAAATGAAACTATTTGATTCTGTCAAGATCTAACAAATTTCTTAGATTTTTTAAATAATATTACGCATACGCCGGACTTTGCTGGTGTGAAGCAATCAAGAGTTTTTTATTATATATTTTTGTTGTTGACAATATAATAAGCTAAACAAGCAATACTAACTAAATGTTTTCCTTTCCAAGACTATATTACGTATACGCCGTGTGCTGTTTGTGTAAATAAATCAAAATATGTTTACTCTGTAAAAAAAGCTCGAGGAAACATTATAAAATAATCTTAGATGAAGTTGTCAGAAGCTAAATAATTGCTTAGTTCTTTAAAACGATATAACGCATACGCCGTGTGTGGCTAGTGTACGAACGGTCACAAGTTGTTGAATAAATATTAAAAAAATTCAATTTAAAAAGACAATAAAATAAAATTAGCTTAGCTGGCAAGAGCTAACTAATTGCTTAGCATAAAGCTCAATGCTCCTGGCTAATTGGACCAATCAAACTGCTGGCAGTTAATCAAACTGCCAACAGCAGTCGACGGCCGGCAGGCGGCAGTCAGCCAGTGCAAACAATTAAAATCATAAAACTCATCGCAAAAGCCGCCAAAGCGAACTAAAATACACAAAGACCAAAAGTCAAGATACTGGGCAAGATAAACGGAACTAATGCGAGCCAAGGAAGTGGATAGACGATTCTGAAATTAAGAAAAACGCTCAGAATGCAAGCAGTGTCGAGCGCAACATCCGGTGCATAAATGAAAATAAATACCAAAAGCGGCTGGCAAACAAACTAGAAAACGAGAACTGTCAGCAGCAGCAGCAGCCAGAGAAGCCAGAGTAGCAACAACTATAAACAGGAGCTGTAGCTGGACACAGTTGGAGCGACAAATGTTAGCCAAACGGATGTGTAGATTAGGCCAGAACAGTTGTCCATCAGCCGTCTAAACAATAGACTCAACAACAGCAACAACAACAACAACAATAACAAATCTCTGCAATATGTGTGCAAGAAAAGCAACAACAACAGCAGCAGCAAGAAAAACAACTAAAACAACAAAAACAACATCCGGCAATGCGTCGGCTGACCTCATCGACGACAGCGGCTACTGTGGCAGCAGCAGTCGTCCGTCCTGGCTGGCGCAAGGACAACGTTTAAACTTGCGCATATTTAAACTTTTGATTAGCTGCTGTGCTCTAATGTGCTGCATTTATACAAATGCCTGGCAATTGTCCATGCTGGGCCAACTGGGGGTCATGGCCGGCAGCATCAAGGGACGCGGCGAAACGCATCGCCTCGATGAGATTGGTGCCGGCTCTTTGACGCGCTCCTGGCTAACCCAAAGCAATAATCATGCCAACATCTCTGAGTTGTTGGACAATTTGCTGCGTGGCTACGATAATAGCATTCGACCGGATTTCGGTGGTAAGTTGGCCAAAAAAAAGAAGGGAAGAAGAAAGTGAAATTGCTTATAAATGTTTTTAATATGCAAAGCAAAAACTATGAAAAACCGGAACACATGTTACAGAAAGTTAAGCATGTAATACAATAGTCAAACGACTTTATTGTTACGTAAAATAAAAGGTTAAGCAAAAGCTGAAAAGATGAAGTTTATATAAAACAAGTTAGAATGTTCCAGGCGGGCTATACCGACTGCATTATACTTATTCACGTTCTGAACAGAGTTGCATATTTTGCATGCAGTCTGCACTTAATTTTGGAGCTTCATTTTCAAAACTTTGGAAGATACAGTGCTACCCATGCTCCCATGGGTGCAGCTTATTTTCAAATGAACAGACGGACAGCAATGCGGACATTGCACAAAACCAAAATACTAATTCATGAAGTGAATGGATGTTATAATAGATGTAATAGAATAAAATATTCACATATATTTATATTATATCTAAAAGTTTTAGATTTTAATGTGAACCACAGACAGACCTTTAAACAATTATTTAAGTTCTTTATTTTTACTAATACAACTAGAAGTCGAGAAGCTGATTACAGATTACAGTGTTACCCTGACTCCATTTTATTGGTAGAACATTTCAGTTCTAGTTTAAGTTCTAATCTTAATTGACTGAAAGAGCCATTTAGGTCTAAGCCGAGAATGCTAGACATTTTGATTTAATTTTTCTGTAATATTGTTTAATAATGTTAACTAGAAATAAGGCTTTCATTTCATTTAATTTTAACTACAAATGCCCATAACGAGATTAGCTCAGATCTGATCTTTAGTATTTTGCATATTAAAAATCATTTCAAACTGAAATATATTACAATTGTTGTCAGTGATTTTGTGAATTACTCTTACGTCTGCTCGTTAGCAGTTAGAATAGATTCTATTGACAGTTCAGCATTTCCCATTTAGCTAAATATTTATTTGTAAAATTTTAGAAATAAATGCAAAATGCCAATTGAGCATCCAATGACAGCGCTGCTAGCAGCTCCCGGCCACCATTTATATCCGGTTGTGTGGTTAGAGTTTTGTTTATACCTTTGGGCTGTTTACCCTTTTGCCTGCTTCCTGTAATCAGCATACAAGTACGCCAACAGATTTGCCCCTTGAACGGAAGCGTTTAATGAAGCGGAAATCGCTGCCAGGAGACATACGGCATACACAGCTCAAGGCGACAATAATAATGATAATGCTGATGATGATGATGATGATGATGATGGTGATGATTGCGATGTGACAGCTCCCTAGGCAAATAGTTAGTGTCAAAATCGACAAAATATTTACATACAATTTCATTGCGCTTCTGCGCCGTTATTTGTGTGCTTGCTAGTACTTGGAAGTCTCCCTCTGCTCCGCGAAATTGATAAGCTTTTTCAATTTTCCAAATGGTCTGCACCATAAAAATTTAAATATTTTCGAAATTTAAAAGCCTTGCGGCTGGCACTCAATGTAGCTTAACGCGCATTCCCAGTCAGCTCTCTTCACGTCCCTCCACTCCACTCACGCAGCAAAAGTTTGCGTTTACGCAACTTAAGCCCAAATTACATTGTTTTGAACACTTCATTAAGAATGGGCTCGGCCGCTAAGTGCGACGACGATGCAACGCGACGAGCATGCAGGATATAAGGATACGTGGCATGCATCCTGCATAACGCGTGTTTACCCAGCTCAACGCCAAAGTCATTAAAAACTGTTCGCATAGGCAAAAATAAAAAAAAAAAAACAAAAACAAAAGAGATAAAAAAACTGCATATTAGCGCAAAATACATGAACATGGAAAGGCTGATAGATGATACGAGGCTACAAAGGATAGTCGCGGAGCAGGCAATGGCAATGAGACTGTCTGCCAAGCGGCTTAAGTGTCATTGTTCAAAGCGGCAACATTTAAATTCCGTTTCAAGCGAAAGGCTCTTCTATGAATTATTCATATGGAGGAATTATGTCGCATATATTTATAGGGAATATGTTAGAAATACCATAAAAAGAAACTGCTGCGGCTAACTAAAATATATAGTGAAATCTGTATATATATTTTTTGTATATATTCGAAATTCTCAGAATCCTATTGTATATTATTTTTTATATTTATATTAAAACAATATTAATTGAGCATAAAAATTGAAAATGTTTATATGTTAAGAATACTCTTTTATTTTATTAAAAAAATTGGCATAAAATTAATACACAATTATAAATTAGGATTTATGAAATGCTTGCCATGCTTATAAAAGCAAAATAAAAATTTTTAATTAGAAGAAAATATTTTCATTAGTATTATAATGTTTTTGTAGGCGTATACTGTACTTTAAGATAGTATTATAATAAATATATTACATTGATTTTTCTAGAAAATCTTATGAAATTTGTTTAAGCTACACTCCTTGGATACGAAAGCAACTTGCGATTTTCTTTCTCTTATTAAGTATTCATAAATATCGCATTGAGTTTCAATTTATCAGTGCCTTTATTTAATAAGTAAACACGCAGAAACCTCAGTCTGCGCAACAGGGAGACCGACATTCCTGCTCTTCCAACTCATATTTTAATTGCTGCTCTTTATTATTAATTAATTCTGTTGCATAAACATGATTATTTATGACTATATAATTCAAATGATTTAACAAAATTTAATAAACATAAATCAGAATCAGTATACTTATACGTAGTTTTATAATGTGCTGAATTGTAATCTTTATTAGTCACCGATATATATCCTTGCTCAAAGAGACTGCTCGCAATAAAGGTATTAATGAGAGCGATTGGTAAAGAGCGTGTTTCAAGCAGTTTATGCAATCTGGAGGGAAGGGGTATTACTTTCAGTAAACACAATCAAATTTCCTCAAAGGTACTAGATAATAGCATTATAAATAATATAATATAATAAAAAATAAAATAAAATATAATAATAAATAAAATCTGTCTAAATCTATTTTCAGCTTCAGTAGCATAATCTTTCGGAAAAATATAATCTGATTTCTCTTTAATAAATTCTGGTTATATTGCTTACCTTTACACCAACTTAAACTTCGTTTTCTTTTCTTTGAAGGTCCACCGGCTACCATTGAAGTGGACATAATGGTGCGTAGCATGGGTCCAATATCAGAAGTGGATATGGTAAGCTATAAGACTACAAGTCTTTAGTATTTATATAAGTATAATGCGCACATACAACAGAGTTCTGTGCACACAGCCAGACAAGAGTCAAGCAAAAGTCTGCGAACAAATGACGAATGGGTTGAACACCTTCTGGCTGTTCGCCACATTCAATAAAAGACTGCATTTCAGCTATTATTCCGTTGACTATGTCCTTTGCAGACCTACTCGATGGACTGTTACTTTCGACAATCCTGGGTGGATAAACGACTCGCCTTCGAGGGTGCCCAGGACACGTTGGCGCTGTCAGTGTCAATGTTGGCGCGCATTTGGAAGCCGGATACGTATTTTTACAATGGCAAGCAGAGCTATTTGCACACGATAACCACTCCCAACAAGTTTGTGCGCATCTATCAGAACGGTCGTGTACTCTACTCCAGCCGTCTGACTATTAAAGCGGGCTGTCCCATGAATCTCGCGGATTTTCCCATGGACATACAGAAATGTCCGCTCAAGTTTGGCTCATGTAAGTGGAAAACTATGGAAAAAAAAAACACTAAACAGTGGTTAGCTGGGCTTATATGCTAACTGAAAGGAGCTGCAGGAGGGGTTAGGCACATGGCTGTGCGCTGGCATAATTATGCATAATTGATGCTTATAGCGCTTTGATGCGCCTTTTGACAGCCCTATAAATGGCATGTCCGTGGCAACCACTTGTTGGAAGGACAATAACGCATAAGTGTGTGTGCTTATGTGTGTGTGTGTGTGTGTGTGTGTGTGTGAAGGACTCAGGCATGGATTATAGACTGAATGGCATGACATTGAATGTGATTGTGGGCAAAAATGGTTAAGTAAAAGGGCTTTTGAGTCTGAGAAGGACGCTAGGTCGGATTGGGCTTTGTTTGAAAAAAAGGAAAATTATGAAAATATTTAGAAGTACTTGCTTTTAGAATATCCTATGTTTTACTATTACTACCATAGTAACAAATAGTAGAAAAATCGAAATTAATTTTATGCTAGTTATATCTGCATTCTAAAAAACTATTAGAAAAACGTTCAAGCATTCGGCTCGCATTTGTGTGTCTTTCTACTGCAGGCAGCTCTTGCTATTTAACAGAATCATTTACATAAATCAGTTATCTATCAATGTAAGCATGAACATATCAAACAGCTAGTATATTAATCTGAGTTCAGTCCTAGCCAAGCTCTTCTTGTCCTGACTTCCCCAAGCTGCTTAATTTGCCTATCCTTATATATCTTTTCTAAAATATCCTTATTCATCTGTAAAATATAAGCTAACTTGCATTGCATTATTTAGTTTCCATAAGATATAAGCTATGTGTATTCACCCTGCTTTTGTTATTACACCTCTGAATATATGCAGGTGACATTTCAATTATTCCTGCCAAGCCAAAAAACGAAAACTCCGTTGACGTTGATGTATTTTCTTCACACAATTCTCTTCTTTTTCATCTTTTTTTTTATTTGTTACACATGCAAAATTGAAAATCTAGCAAAATATTTTGTAGCGCGCAGCTAAAAGGTTCACGCAGCTCCTGCGTTCATTTAAAGATCTACTATTTGGCCAGAATTTATGCAGGCTGTTAACAGCCTTCTGCGCTTATCGCACGGCTAAATTAACAGACACCTGCTACTACAGTTGATATTATTGCTTCCGATTTGTTGCGAATAATGTTGCATGCAGTCGAGGATTCAATTATAGCCCCAAGCCCTCTGCCGCTCTGCTTGCTGTTATTGCCTGCCACCTAATGTTGACAATTTCCCATTTGATGCGATGTCGAGTCACTGAAAATATTGCCGAAGTCAGCGGAATGGCGCAAAGTATCTAACAAAAAAAAAAAATATATATATATATATATATATATATATGTATCTATATGGGAATAAGGTAAACCAATCCGCATCCACACATGTCCCAATGTTTGGCAATTTGTGCAGCTAGGCGACAACAACAACAAATAAAATATCTGGCACGTGTGTTGATGGCAAAGTGTGGGATGGGGGCCTGGTCGTGGAAATTGGTTGAATGAATAGCGCTGAGGAAACTATGAAGCACTGTGATTTAACTAGTCACTGTGATCAGTTGCTGCCTCTATTGACTTACTTTTTTAATGAATTATTATTTTAGTAAGCGGCTTAGCTACTCTAGATGTAGAAACTGTGTTTGTGTCTTGAATACAACGAGAGATTTCTATAAATGTAAATTTTGAATATGTTACTGTTGAATGGAATCGTTCTATTAGCGAAAATGTAAATAATATTTAGGAAATACAAGTATCTCTGACTTAACTGTTTAGAAAATAATAATGGTTCTTGGTTATTTTTTAACTGCTAATCTTTTCAATAGCTTAAAGGGCAAACCACTTACTATAAATTGTTATAATTTTTATGCATAGAAGTTGATCGATTAATAGAAAAATTACTTAGTATAACATTCTACTTTGAAGAATGATGTTTTTGATTATCGATCCATTGTCCTTCTTACGAATAAAAAATTATATTTTTCTTAAATCGCCCAAAGAATACTCGAGCTGAAGTCTTGCCAAGAGGTCCAGAGGTCTTTTTTCGAAACCAAATAAATGTTTTATAGACTTTTCGTATATTTGAAACATTTTGAGAGTTTGCATTCATTCATTTCTATTCAGTGAAAGAAAAATATGCAATTTCACATTTAAATAAAGTTTTAATATTTATTAAAAAATTGCAAAAGACCAAAAACATGTTTCAGTTAGTTCATGAAATTCCACATATAATATTTTTTTAATTAAGCATATCATAGTTTAGTGATTACTTTTACAATCTAAATTTATTTTAGGTGTCAGTTTCCATTTATTAACTGTTTTATATACTATTCTTATCATATAAGTTGTTTGATATGTTAAAAAACATAAAAATTTCAGTAATTTCTCGTCGAATATAGACACTTGAAGAGAAGAAGTAATCAAGTCCGAAGTAACCGACTATGCGATAGCGTGAATCTTGCTGAAATACCATTTTTAAAAGCTCTCTATTTACAAATTAAGTTGGGTAAAGTTCTAAAAAAATATATAATAATTAAATATAAAGGCAATCAATGCTTAAGAGCTAGAAAATTGTTTATGAATCTCCAAGCAGTCACAGCCTTAATGGCCACTGTAGTTGGTCCCCCTAAATGCTTGCATCTCTATTGGGTTGTTATTTTTAATTGCCAAAATGTGAAATCAAAAAATATAAAACAAATCATATTTTCACATATTGCACTTTGCAAACATTCCACCCACATAATCTGCTGGAGCACAGTTGGCTATACTACGTCGGATGTCATTTATCGCTGGAACAAAGAGCGTCCGGCAGTTGCCATTGCGGAGGACATGAAATTGTCACAGTTCGATTTGGTCGATTGTCCGGCGGGTAATTTGACGGACATTGTTTACAAGGCAGCGGCACCGATGCCGCAGAACTACAATAACAAGGACACGCTGTCAACCAAACAGCCACCCAACAGCAGCAACAACAACAAAGTGCTGACAACTTTCGCTGGGCCGGGTGCCAAAAATCAACATGTCCGTGGCACTGGCTTAAAGCTAGACAAAGGCGCGTTTGGCTCGGGTCGCGGCATTGCCGGTGGCGGCGGTCTCGTCACGAATCTGGCCGGGAGCATCAGCCTGGAAACACATCATCCATGTAAGTTGTCAGTTTAGCGACGTGGCCTGCAGCTGCTAATCCCTGCATCTTTCTCCACAGCGGAGTACTCCATGTTGATGGTTAATTTCCATCTGCAGCGCCACATGGGCAACTTTCTGATTCAGGTCTATGGACCGTGCTGCCTGCTCGTGGTGCTCAGCTGGGTATCCTTTTGGCTGAATCGCGAGGCAACTGCGGATCGCGTTTCGCTGGGCATTACCACGGTGTTGACGATGACTTTTCTGGGTCTAGAGGCGCGCACGGATCTGCCCAAGGTGTCGTATCCCACCGCTTTGGATTTCTTTGTCTTCCTCTCATTTGGATTCATCTTTGCTACCATACTGCAGTTCGCAGTGGTGCATTACTTTACCAAATATGGCTCGGGCGAGTGTTACTTCATTATCGAGGAGCTCGACTCGGATTCGGCCGAGTCTGAAACGGATGTGGACGCCAGTGGCCAGTCGGATTTTCGTGGCAGCAGCGAGTCCAAGATCTATGAGGTCATACCGCTGTCCATGTGCGCCATAAGCATGCCAACATCTGGCGGCAATCGCTTAGGCATGCTGCACTCCAGACGCACCACGCGCAATCGCCGCCATGGACTGAGGCGCTTCAGTTTCTGGCGCTGCTTGGACTGGCTAAGCTGCCGGCGACAGCGACGTCAACCTCGCAAAGCCACCTGCTCCGATGAGGAGGAGGAGGATGATGAACAGACTCAGCTACGAGCCGATGAGGCGCCCTGCACTTCAGCAGCTGCAGCAGCGGCGGCCGCAGCAGCAGCCGCTGCCCAAAGCTCGCCGCCACCTGTGGGACGCCGACGCATGTCCTTCTACAGACGCGAAGAGCTGGAGGCGAGACGCAAGGGCAAACGCACGCCACAATACAATTCGGTGTCGAAAATAGATCGTGCCTCGAGGATCGTATTCCCACTGCTGTTCTTTCTGATCAATGTGTTCTACTGGTATGGCTACCTGTCGCGCAGCTCACGCATATTGGCCAACACGCAGGCGAGCACCTGATGTTACCTTTTAGCAATTTAGACACAGTCCTCAAAAGAAATCAGCGTTCCACAGAGGAAGAGCAGCGGCAATGGCAAGGTGTTACAATATGGTATAAAGGATATATGAAAAATATGAATTTCGGCTTCAGTTATTTGCTCTTAGCCTGATTTGCTAACAACTACTACGAACGCTTTCCACGATTTCTTTTCGCGCTAAATTGCTAAATATTTAAAAGAAAAACTTACATATCACAGGACTACAAATTGTACATATATACATTGACATATGCTATATAGAAATCTGTATTAATGCATATGTTATATGTATGTATATCTGGAATGTTAATATAATTTGTACAGTTAGCCTATAAGTTGCCAATTCTTTGAGCTTTTAAATGCTTAGTTAGAAAACAAATATAATGGCTATTTATAATAATTTCTATAAATATAAAGTAACATAAATATGTTTATGTATATGTATATGTTTATATATATATATATGTATTTATGAGTGTAGCATTACTTAGCTGAGATTTGCCAAAAGAGCTTTTGTAGTTAAGAATTTGCTGTTGCTCTCTAAATATGTAAAAGAAAAAACTATCCAAAACAAATCGAAAATCTTAGTCGGATGCAACCGACTGCATGATACTCGTTTGCTAAATTTAATTATAAGTCTATATTATGCGATGACCCATTCACCTTATCGTTTATGGATTTATCAACGGCAATCTAACGGTAAAACTTTCTCTAACTGTACAAGAGTGGAAGATCTTGTTTATTTCCTATTTGGCAAGCCTCAAAAACGGGCTGTATGAAGGTATATCGTGTTTTATCGATCAACAAATTGAGATTGTAGAAAATACTGGTTTCTACAATTTACTATATAGCTCGATTTCAAGTCTTTAGCTTCCCTAATGAGTCTCAGAAAACAATACAATTTATATTAATTTAATCATTTCCGATTTGATACGCACCTCGAGTGAGTGAATACATAATTTTTTATCGATCTGTAGACCAATTTTGGGTTCCTTGCTTTAAAATTAAGAGATACAATTCAATTCCAAATGTCAAATTTCGAAAATTCCAGACTCAAGTCTCAAACACTACACAAAATCAATATACTCGTTTACGCTTCATGAACGAGTACAAAAGTATGTAACATTTGGTTACTATTAAAATCAAAATTAAAAGCATAAACTATTACTAATATTAATGCACATTACTATAGCATAATAAATAACAACTATTATCTATATATATATATATAAATATATATATGTTTATTTTGATTAAATGTAACAGAAAATATTATGTAAATAACAAAGTCAAATGCATTTCAATTACAAACCAACTCGACTATGGATGAACGGATAAAACTTGTATCAGAGATAAGATATTTTTTGATAAAGATTAAGCTATCTTATCCGATATTGATTAGCATTTTTCGTTACACTTTATTGACAATGCATAAAAGTGTCAAATATAAGGCAATAGATTGCCCAATTGGGGTAGATAAACATCTGGCATGGGCAGTGTGGGATTACCATGCAAAGTTTCCAATTGATAGCTGCCGGTGCCCACTAAAAGCGATTGCAGATTGCAGTTTCTGGCAAAGGTGACATCGATTTTGCAGCTACAAAGGAAAACAATGACGCATTAGCGACATTAAGTAGGGATTAGATGCTCTCCAGCTTACCAATCGCCAATCATGAGCGTACGCTCGGGCTGCAAAGCAGCTGCATTGAGCAGCGGCTTTAGCACCAAAGGATTTGGTTTACCCATTTCCAATGCCTTCCGCTCCGAACAGGTCTCAATTGCAGCTACAAAGGCGCCTGTCCCGGGTATATGAACAGACGGATACTTATGCACCGCGTCGTTGTTGGTGACGAGAAAGATGGAGCCTTTGTTGCTGCACAGTATGTGACAGGCGCGGGCCATTTTACAGTAGCTGAAATGCTCGTCCCAGCCAACAATGACGGCGCCCACATTGGCAGTCGCTGCCGGCTGCTTCAACTCGCGATTTACGAACTCCTGCCACTTGTCATTGGGCTGCAATGGGTCTGGTTCACCAGCACCAAAACTTTTAAAGCCCGCTTCATTTAGGGCTCGCTCAATAGCCGCATTGCCAACCACATAAACCCGCTGGTCGCTTGGCATGTGCTGCTTCAGATAGTCGACAATTGTTTGCGTGGGTGAGATGATGTGCGACTCATTCGGCAACTGGAAGCCCAGACGTTGGGCGCGCTGCCAAATTTCATGGCTCGTTTTTAGACCATTATTTGTTATTAAATAGACGCGTTTGCCGGCGCGGGTTTGCAGGGCGTTCAGTACGTCAGCGGCACCTTCAATGCCCCTCTCATCATGCCACAGCGTACCTGATTTTAATTTGTAATAGTCAAAATATTTACGAAAAAAATAAATGATGTTCAAAGTAATGATATTTATAAAAAAATAATCTTTGAGGATCTCTCTCAATACTTCAGCCTCTCTAGCAACACAGATCTAATATGTGCTCAACGTCATCGATATTTAAAAACAAATATCGATATACGAGTTTTCAAAAGTCAGGTGGCAGCGCTGTAAGTCTGAGATCTCTCTTCTTTTCACACTCTCTCCCCTACATATACTTTCATACTTAAACACTTACCATCGCAATCACTGATAATTGTATCAAAGCCTTCCAACCAGCTGTTTACCTGCTCAGGTTGAAGATCTAGCAAATTAATTGCGCTTGCTTTGAACATTCTATAGTCGCGGACAGGTTGACACTGTTGCCCGCTTTGGAAAGTTTCTCTCTTAACTGAGCGCCAAGTGAGCAAATCATCGTGATTTTTAATATTGTGATACTACACTCACACGAATGACTGCGCTACAAATTGTTTTGATCGATCGGCATTTTCACAATAGCAAAAATTGAAAAACATTTTTATTTTATTGTAAATTTTACTATACACCACTGTATTCTTTTTTCTAAATAAATTTCTGTCTATCGTAATTAAGTTTGATAGCGTCCCTGAGCGCAAAACATAAACTAAATAAAGTATTTAAGAATATATACAAATTAATAACTTCCATGTGTCATTGAGTTCAGAATCAAGGGCAATAGATCTCCCAGTTTTGGTAGATACACATCGGGTATCAGTTTTTTGTCCTCGGGGTCTTTGCTATTCTTCCATTGATCCACGTCTGTCATATTATGAATTCCCGATCCGACTAGAAGTGTCTGAAATCCACAATTGTAGCCCAAGAGAATATCCGTATTGGCGCGATCACCAATCATTAAAGTGCGTGCTGGTTTGATTTTGTTCTGCTTAATCAATGTCTGACAAATGGCCGGATTAGGCTTTCCAATGACAGTGGGTTTCCTCTCCGCACACGTGCGAATTGCATTCACAAAGCTGCCACTGCCCGGAACAACCATTTCAGGCATAGGGAAACGTTCATCCGTATTGGTTGCAATAAACAAGCAGTTCGGATCGCTTAAGTAGGACGCTGCTTTTGTCATTTTGGGAAAGCTGAAATGCTCATCAAAGCCGACGACAACTGCGCCAATATTCGACTCTAGAGTTAAGTGCTGCGACATGAATGTGCTCAGTGTGCCCTGCATAACATCCGGTCCAATGCCTGAATGCTCTATACCAACGGCGTCCAACTCCTTTCCAATTCCCTCGGAACCAATGACATAGACGCGCTTGTTAAAATTGCGATTCTTCAGATAAGCAGCTGTTGCATGGGCTGTCGATATGATGCCGTCTTCGGTAATATTAAAGCCCAGTTCTATACCCTTCACAAGCAGCTCTTTGCGTGTTTTCGTCGAATTATTTGTGCAAAAATAAATGCTCTTTCCCATTTTTTTTAGATAGTTTATGGTATCCGATGAGCCGGATATCAGATTCCCGTACACCCACAGAACACCTGTATAATTGAAATTAATTTATATAATCATTTAAAATTGAAATTTCAATTTCATCTAAGATGTTTTTTAAAAACTGCTTTCTTGTCCATTACAACGGCTCTAAAAAGTCGGGCTGGCCGCACCCTACTGACATTGTAATTTGACATTGAATTTTGCGCGGCCCCACAAGCACACACACAAACAAATACATAATTCGCTTGTATGTCAATTTTAGACAAACAACAAGAACGAAAAGTGACGTGAATGACTCTCTTTAGGAAGTAGGCTGCCAAGAGTATGTGGCAGGTTACGCAATTCATATTGGCCCAGAATCCTTCATTCATAACTTTACACACTTACCATCGCAATCGGTTATAACGGAATCGAAACTGTTAAGCCATTTTTTGACCTCTACAGGTGAAAGGCTTAGTATGTTGGTGCACGTTTGTTTATACATTCTACTCGATTTATTGTATCAGTTGAAGAGATGGTATTAAGACTGGAAGCGTAAAGTGCCCGCGAACTACTGCAGGCTAACTATTAATTACAAAATTTCATCCACTGATAATTTATTTATGTATATCTACTGGGCTGATGCGTTTCTGACAGTCTGGCTACATTATCACTTATCAGCTGACATGCTGACACAGCTGTTAAAAAACTACTGTACGTTTTTGGTATTTTTAAGAATATTCCCCAAGTCAGCTGTTAAGCATAACCAGCCAACTGTTGGCTATCAACAATTCAAAATTACATTTGAATACAATTTAAAAATTTTTATTACACTTTTAAGCCGTTTATTATTGTATTTGGCGCTTACATATACAATTAATTACTTATAGTACAGGTTTTTGTTTTGTTGAATCTCAGCTTACTTCCTCCTTTTTTACAAACTTGCTGGAAGATCAAACCATTGCAAATAAAGTAAAATACTGTAGCTATACCAAATTGTAAGCGAAAGTAATTGGATGATCGAGATGCAAAGTTACTGCAAGCTAGTTAAAAATGGTAAAAGTAGTTGTTTTTTGGGATGAAAGGGTAGTTCTGGAATCTAGAGCGAAAAATTTTGCATTTTGTACCATAATTTGCATTAAATAAATCTCATTAAGCTAGGCAATGTAAACCGAACGAAAAAGTTTGCTAATTACAATATAAACTATTTTACAGTAATCATAATTATAAATTATAAACTAGACACGAAACTTTATCGAGAAATTGCATTTAGAGTGTGCATTTGTGGACACCTTTTTTTTGTTTGTTTTGTGTATGGGCTATAGACGTGTGTGTGTGTGAGAGGTAATGAGCCAAGACTATTAACTAATGGATTTCACCTAAAACTGTGACATTAATAAGCTACCTGGGCCGCCACCTGCGTTACCAGCGTTGCCTCCGGCCCCGTTTCCACCGCTGCCCAACACAGAGCCCAATAACGCTCCACTGGGCATTTGCTGTTGCTGTTGTTGATGTTGCATCGAAAGCTGTTGTTGCATTTGCAGCGATGAGGAAAAACTGTTCGGACCCATGCCCGCATTCATTCCGACGCCAACGCCAATGCCAACGCCACTGCTTGTCATGGGATTGGACATGCCAGCCGTGGCACCCATTACGGGTCCACCCATGCCAGCTGCAGCTGCACCACCGCCGCCCCCACTAGGCATTCCCATGCTTAGAGCGCCGCCTGGTTCAGGGCTTTGATTTTTCTTTTTACGTTTCTTCTCCTTTTTGCGTTTCTTGCGCTCCTTATCATCCTCATGGCGTTTTTGTTTTTTGTGCTTCTTCTCGTAGGTCTCCAAGCCAGCAGAATCTGTAGTTTTGTTTTAGCAACAAGTTACATATTGAAAGCTTTTTAAGCATAACTTACCCAGTAGCGTTGACTCGGGTCCTCCAGTGGTTATTCCGTCTTTGTGTTTGTGCTTTTTGTGCTTGTTTTTGTGTTTCCGCGCAGGTGTGGCATAAGTGGTACGGTACTGTTCCGGCAGCTTCAATGGAATCAAGAATATATCAGCAAGTGATAAAAACAGTTTACTGCATAGATTTTTACCGGTCCTGGGTGCAAACGAAAGCCGGCCAACTGCACTGCAGTCAGGGGCAGCAGCTCCTTACCACCAATGGGTGGCTTTTCGATGACGCTGCGCAGCGTGCTATTTTCCACGGGATGCGTGATGAGGTCATTGATGCCGGGTATATTCGGTAAAAAGGATGCTAGCGATTCCTTAAATTTTTTCTCTTTGAATTTGGTCAGCGTATGATGCAGTCCATATTCGGTCATGAGGTCCTTGTCGCCGGTTAGCTCCGCTTTCGCCGGTGGCTCCTTCATTGAGTAGAATGGACCCGTGTGTATTATCGTGGGAGTCTTTCCCAATGATATTGTCGTTTTTAGCGTCCCTGAGGAATCCTGTCGAGCTACCACGGGGGAGCGACCGCCATGCGGTGAAGATCTGGGTGAGTCCATCATTATGTTGCCGTAGTTGTTCAACATTTTTGGGCAACTCGACAGAGGCTGGGCTGGGACACAGTCAGAGAGTTAGGCACAGACAACAACAATACTGCAGCAGCAGCAGCAACAACAAGGCCAGACAGCGTAGCAAATTTTGCAATTGTTATGAGTTGCTGCCGCACACACAAAAAGCGAGCAATATACGCTCAGCTTATTATTGCGGCCGCGCCGACACTTTAATGTATATTTAATCAATTATAATGCACGTTTTATTGCGATTTTCTATGTTCAATTTGCAGACGAGACTCTCGCCATCTTGTTGTGTTCGCGTACAAGTGTGACCAGCTAGCGAACAACTGAATATGGTCGACATATAAATAAATACCTACAGCCACTAATCAGGAGTATTTTACAACCTGTAAAAACATCGAAACGGATTTTCTATCGATATATTGGTCAGTCGCCATCAGCAGTTTGCCGTGCTCTAGCGTAGTACCGTGTAATTTTCGTTAGAACTTTGATAGTAACGTCAAAGTATTGTTTTTCGGTTTTAGAAAAAGCTATTTTATAAATTGATCAGCAATGCAGTCCACACTACGCAGAACTGTGACTGCTTTGGCCAAGGTACAAAGATATAACCCGATTTACTTCAAGCTTAGTCCAATTGGGTTATGCAATTCTAACCTATATAGGTCATAACTTTCGCATTAAATGCATTAGTCGATCATTGTGGCGTCAGAAACTGTGCGTGTGCAAATGTCAAGGTCGCTGATTAGGCCAATTATCAGCTGACACAGTTGTGATAAAGCCAAATGATAATTAAAAGACGTGTTTGTGCTAAGTGCCAGCGATTAGCGTAAACACAACAAACAGTCAAAGAAATGAAATATAAACTAGTGTGACCAGTTAGCATTCTATCTAAATTGCTGTTGTTCATTGCAGACACCACTGCGGACCAATGCCGCTATTTTGGGTGCATTAAATTCGCGTTGTTACTCAGCCACACATGAGGCGGACATTGTGGTAATCGGCTCTGGACCTGGTGGATATGTTGCTGCCATCAAAGCAGCGCAGATGGGCATGAAGACTGTCAGCGTGGAGAAGGAAGCTACTCTAGGTGGCACCTGTCTAAATGTTGGCTGCATTCCGTCGAAAGCTTTGTTGAACAATTCACACTATTATCATATGGCCCACTCCGGAGACTTGGCCAGTCGAGGTATAAACTGTGGCAGCGTCTCTCTTGATCTTGAGAAACTGATGGGCCAAAAGACGAATGCTGTTAAAGCTTTAACAGGAGGTATTGCAATGCTTTTCAAGAAGAACAAAGTTACACAACTCACGGGCTTTGGCAGCATCGTCGGCCCGAATGAAGTAAAGGTGACCAAGAGTGACGGCACCACGGAAACCGTTAAGACAAAGAATATATTGATCGCTACCGGCTCGGAGGTAACCCCCTTTCCAGGCATAACTGTAAGTATGTTCTAATCACAACCGTTCGATTATAGATATAGATATTTCTGTTTTATAGATCGATGAGGAGGTTATTGTGAGCAGCACGGGCGCTTTGAAGCTAGCCCAGGTTCCCAAGCATATGGTTGTCATTGGTGCGGGTGTTATAGGCTTGGAGCTGGGCTCCGTTTGGTCACGTCTGGGTGCTGAGGTTACTGCTGTTGAATTCATGGACACTATCGGTGGCGTTGGCATTGACAACGAGGTATCCAAAACCTTCCAGAAGGTGCTCACCAAGCAGGGACTCAAGTTTAAGCTGGGCACCAAGGTCATGAGTGCCACACGCAATGGGAACTCAGTCAGTGTCTCCGTGGAAAATGCAAAATCGGGTGAAAAGGAGCAAATCGAGTGTGATACGCTATTGGTGAGCGTGGGGCGCCGGCCATACACTGAGGGTCTGGGTCTGGAGGCTGTAGGCATTGTGAAGGACGATCGTGGTCGAATTCCTGTCAATGCAACTTTTCAAACGGTGGTGCCAAGCATTTATGCTATTGGTGATTGTATTCACGGACCAATGTTGGCACACAAGGCTGAAGATGAGGGCTTAATCACCATCGAGGGTATTCAGGGTGGGCCAGTTCACATTGATTACAATTGCGTACCCAGCGTGGTGTATACACATCCTGAGGTTGCGTGGGTGGGCAAATCTGAGGAAGCACTCAAGCAGGAGGGCGTTGCCTATAAAATTGGCAAGTTCCCCTTCCTGGCGAATTCGCGTGCGAAGACAAACAACGAAACCGATGGCTTCGTTAAGGTTCTAGCTGATAAGGCAACGGACCGTGTTCTGGGCACGCACATCATTGGTCCAGCCGCTGGAGAACTAATTAATGAGGCCGTGCTCGCCATGGAGTATGGCGCTTCTGCCGAAGATATCGCCCGCGTCTGTCACGCACATCCGGTAAGATAAATAGATAATCCATGCTATAAGCGTTGTATTGTAAATACATTTTTTATCTGCAGACTTGCGCTGAAGCCTTACGCGAGGCTAATGTTGCGGCCGCTTTTGGAAAGCCTATCAACTTTTAAAGAGAATCCCATTGTAGTGTTTATACTAATTTGAAATTGGAAATATCGCCGCTTGTTTGAAATTCTCAATGTGCAACTGTAACGATTAATATGTAACGTGTCCGATTAATATATTAATTGCTAGTTGCAATACGAAGTAGTCACAAAAGGTTTACAATATATATTTTTAAATAAAATTGAGTCACAGTATAGTAATTATCGATGGTTGTTTTTTCTATCGATATTAGTTACAATCAACTGCATCGTGTATCGAATCGATATTCCTTATCTATATTATCGATAATTAGGTGAATTAATTTGTATTTTTATTCAGCTATATTACACTTTATTTTAGTTCCAAAGACATTGGTGGATAGCTTGTACGTAACGTTACAGATGATGTCTTTTTAATTTTCGTATTCTGGCACATGCATTTTAAAATTAATTATAAATATCAACGTCAATAATGAAAAATTGCCATCGATAATAATTAAACGATACTCCCGCTCAGTAAAAATTTTCCAGCACTATTCAACAGGGACATTCTATAGTAGTAATGGTCACACCAATCATATGGTAAGTTTTGAACGGGTTGTCAAAATTAAATTACAGATTACCTGTTTTACATTGTCAAATAATTCATTCTTTCATTTTCTATAGATTATCCATACGAACTAAAAAACAAAATTAATAACAGTTGCAATGTTTCGCGTTAGTAAATTGTGCGTGCCACACACCGTACCAGTCTCCCAAATAAAACGTCGAATGTCCCTGGCCAAGAGGTTATTAAATGTCAGTCAAACGCATTCATGGGAGAGTGCTACCAGAGAACGTATGTCCGTAAATCAACAATCGCAATTTAACGCAGCTGGTAAGAAAAAAAAGCAGCAAAACAGCGAGCAGGAGCAAGTTCAGAACACAACTGTGAGTAGCTTGATATCTATTGTGATGTAATTAAAGTGCTTCAATCGACCTCATACTTCTTTTTTGCTCTCTTGCAGAGTAATCATCGGTGGCAAAAGAAAATCTTTAGCGGCATTCAGCCAACGGGTTCAATGCATTTGGGCAACTATTTGGGCGCTGTGCGCAAATGGACTGAATTGCAAAACAAACGAGAAAATATCACCATTAGCATTGTAGACATGCACTCCATAACCATGCCGCATAATCCTCCAGCGCTACGTGAGAATATTTTCTTGATGGCTGCAACGTTGCTCGCCTGTGGCATCGATCCTTCCCATACGACATTGTTCGTTCAGTCATCTGTGTTGGAGCACAGCGAATTAAATTGGATACTTAATTCATTGACCACAATGCCAAGACTAGCTCAACTGCCGCAATTTAAAGAGAAATCGCGAACTGTACGTGATGTGCCGCTGGGCTTGTTTGTTTATCCGGTGCTCCAGGCTGCCGACATTATGCTATATAAGTGAGTATAACCGATAAGCTTAAGTTTAAACTAATTGCTACTCATTTTATATGCATAGAGCCACTCATGTGCCCGTTGGAGCGGATCAGGTGCAACATATTCAACTGGCTCAGCACCTGGCACGCGGTTTTAATACACGCTATGGCGACATGTTTCCGATATGTAATCCTTTAATTGAAGAAAATGAGGGCTCACGGATTCTTTCCTTGCGCGAGCCGTCCAAGAAGATGTCCAAGTCGGATTTAAGTCCCAAAGGTACAATCAATCTAAACGACTCACCCGATCAAATTACCGAGAAGATTAAGAAGGCTGTCACAGACTTTACCTCGGACATCTCATACAATCCGAATGCGCGTCCAGGTGTTAGTAATCTAGTGAATATTCACGCTCTAGTTACGGGTCAGAGCATTGAATCGGTGGTGGAGGAGGCCAAGCAGCTGGACACGGCGCAATACAAGGAGCGCGTATCGGAGGCAGTTATTGAACACTTACGTCCCATTCGAGAATTGATAAATAAGCATTTGAGTAATCGCAATGAACTCATATATATACTGGAAATGGGTTCTGAAAAGGCCCGCAAAGTGGCGCAAGCAACAATGACGGAAGTGAAGCAGCGTCTGGGCTTAGGCACTGTGGGCGTAACTCCGCCAGGTGTAGTACTGGCGCCACAACTGCAGGATCACTTAAAACTAACGGCAAGTCAGCGTTTAGCTAAGGGTGTATTTCAGTCGGATGCTCATCAACATAGTATTCAGCACTCTGAGCAGGGCTACGGTAGCCTCGCTGGGCCAGGTGGAGATGCTGGAGAAGCGGCCACTGGAGAGGCGGCTGAAAATGTAAGTAAACAAGGACCTCGTAAATCGCGTCACACAATTGTGCCAATTCAGACGATGCGTGTGGAAAAGTCGTTTAATCGTTCACCGTCGCGACACGCCTTCAAGCTGGACAATTACAATGTGCCCAAAATTGGCTTTCGTGATGCAACTGCAAGCCTGAACTCAAGTGTAGCATATCGAACCGATCAACGTAGTCGTCAAGGCGCTTTTGGCTTTATTGCACCTAAACATTTGGGCGTACGTAATAATATATCTCTGAAGTATGGTAACTCCAATCCCAGTGCTTTGGCCTCTGTGACAAGTCAAGTGAATGCAATATACAAGCAGCAGGAATCTGTCAGCAGTCTGGCCAACAGTACATTCTATAAAGCAGCCTCCTCCTCTTTCAACAGCATAAATCCCAGTGTCGTCAATATGGCAGCTAAAACACTAAATAGCCGTAACAACAATTCACCTACAGCCGCTGCAAGCCCTTCGCTCCCAATAGGCAACAGCAGCAACAGCTCTGCCAATATCCCGGACATTACGAACAATATATCTAAAACCACCACCAGCACCACGGATGAAAATGCTGAAGCAACCGCCCAAAGCTCAAGCGCTTCTGCTGAGGAAGATGGGGATTCAAATGCCGAAGATCATGAAGATGAGGATGATGATACAGCAAATGCAGAGACTTTGGTGGAAAAAGTTAATTAAAATAGATTAATTGCAATTGTTTTTAGTATAGTCTGATTGCCCTTAAATCGCTGGTAATACATTGGAATGTACTTATTCTAAATGATTTACACATTGAAATTCGAATTAGTGCGCCTCGAAAGGCGTAGCATTACTGTTATATGTTATAATGAATGTTATTAAACAGTGCTATCGGTTGTGTCGATAGTTAAGGTAATTCTGTGTTTCTCAAATGCGGGCACACTGGCCAGCTTCTTTAGTATTTTTCAATCATACTTTGTTCGGTCCGGTTGTGCGCGCGCGGGTAATACGACGTTCCGTATAGTCTGCCCCAACCTGTGTTACCTGTGCTTGGTGTTTGGTGTTTGTGTGCGTATTTCCACATATTTTTGTGTAGTTGTACATACGAAGTAACGAAAATCACAATCCAAATGGTATGCAAATGCGTTGCCAACGTTACGCACGCGTAGAAATACAAAATTCAAGTGCTAACTTGTATTCGTATAAAAAAGCCGCAAAGTGATTTATATCAGGTTGAAGCGCGCGCCAAGTGAAAGTGCAACAAATACAAATACACCAAAACTACAACACAGCTTAAATAAAACGTATTAGTTATTAAAAAAGTAAACAGCCAAATAATTAACTACCTGTTCTACACATTCAAGTTTGTCGGACGCAGCAGCAACAGCAGCAGAAACAGGAGATCAAAAAGAGGTGCGCAACAAACACAAGAAATCTAACTGTTGCTTCTTCATTGTCTATGTGCGCGCTTGAATGTGTGTGTGTGAAGTGCATGCTTCAAAAAATTCATTTTGTCTTGTGCTACGTCTAACGGTTGTTTTTGTTTTATACGCACATAGAAAAAAAATAACTCAACAAATATTTTGCACAACAGTTTTAACAGGTGCGTTAACTGTTTTACATAATTTGGAGCAGCAGCTGTTTGTTAGCTGTTCTATTTATGCGCTAGCGGTAGATCTCATTAGTCAGATCTTAAAAGTTTGACAAGCAACTCCGTCATGCCATTCCGTTCACCGCAGTTAATCAAACCGCAGTTTAATACAAAATCTCAATAAACTTCATATATAAATAAAATGTATACAAATATTATACTTTGAAATGATAACTTTATTTAATATTTAATCACTTTTGTTTTGACGGTTTTGTACACGCAATGATGTTACTGTTATTGATTCTCAAACTGTAAGCGGTTGGGGCTACATTGCTTGTCTAAGCATCTCTTTTTTACAGTTATGAGTATACACTTACTTATGAATGTAAATCCAGTATAAGTTAGTCATATATTATAATATGTGTTAGTTTTATATTATATTATTATGTGAGTCTTATATTCAATTGCTAAAAATTAAGCATTATTGAAAGTTTTTAAAGCCCTTTTTGAATTGTTATTTGGGCTCTTACACTGTAAACAGAGTATTGCGCAGTCGGCTGCACTCTTTTATTTCATTTGTTTTACACGCAATTAGGCAAATGACTTGTATTAGTTTTAGTTTTAGATTTAGTTTCAGTTGTCTACAAATTACTTGTAACATTTGCACAAATGCGAAATTCGCATTTGCCTTTTTGTTTTGCCATTTTATTGCAGCTGTAGTTGTTGTTATTATTGTTGTGTTAGCCATGTTGTGCCAGTTGGTGCTATCGCCGACGCCGACGTCGACGTCGACATCGACGGTTTTTGCTTGGTTTATTGTTTTCTTATGGTTTGGTTTTGGTATTTTGTGTGTTTGCTGTTGAGGAAGTTATTACGAATACCCTATTTAAAACGGATAGGGGGGTCTGATTAGTTTGACTTGGATGTGCAATCTAAAATGCGTAAGATGCAGTTATAGCTGCCAACTTTAAATATGTATATATAATAATAAGAAATATTGAATATAATTGTGTCAAATATACAGTTGTAACAATATTTGTGTATATCACATTGACCAGACAAATACTCACAGGGTGTGTTACGGTCAGTAACTTGATTTGCTTAAAATTAATTTACTGAGAGTGCAACTCAACTGCCGAAACAGAGGGTGGGGAGCGAGAGAGTAAGAATTGAGAGTAAGGCAGCAGCACTAAGACCAAGTACAAGTACTTCCGCCTGTTGGCGAGAGTTTTGATGTTGTTGTTGCTGTAGTAGTTGAGGCCACCTGCCCAACGGCATGGAACAGGAAACGAACAGGCGTAGGACACGGCTTGGCGACACTTGAGGCTGCGTTTTGGTAATGCGAAACCCACTCAGAGATGCAGCAGCCGCCGCGGCAGCTGCGCTTCAGCGTTTCGGCGTTTTCATTGCATCACATAATTTTTATTTTCTGTTTCCTCTTCTTCTTTCGCATTATGCATTGTAATTTGATAGTTTTTCGTGTTGCCTCAAGTCCATTTGGCCCCTATTAATGTGGTTGCTGGCGCTCTAAAATTACAGCTGTCTCCCACCCCCTTCCACTTTGCTGCAAACTTCTCTATTTGCATCTCTTTCACACGTTAAGGCGGTCTAACGGTTCTGCTTTGCTGTGCACTTTGCATATTGCGCTGCCCAAAAATGGCTCGTTGTTGTTTTTGGGCTTGTTGCCAGGCCTTGGCACAGTTATGTGGCTTGGCCACGTTTTGTAGTTGTTATTGTTGTTTATCTTATGTCTTACGGGGCTTTTTCTTGTTTTTGCTATTCTGCATTTGCAATTTGGGCTTGACCTGCTGTCAGTTGGGATATTTTTGAGTAATATGTGCGAAAAAATAGAAGAAAGAAAACGGGTTATAGGAGTTGAAGTACCGTAGAAAAAGACGAAGAAGCAGAAGACATTTGAGTTTTAAATTATTATTATTTATGTATTATTTTTATAATAATTATTTATTATTTATATATATAAATATTTAATTTATTCTCTTATCTGTGGTGGTAATACTTTTTTATAATACAAATAAAAATAATAAATTTATTGTAACCACAAATAAAAATAAAGAATAACTTATACTTTGTTAATTGGAAATATTAGCTAGTTAGATATTCAATAAAGAATTCCAGAGAAACGTTAAAGTTATTAATTCAAATTCAATTGTTTTTAAGTAACAATATATATATATATATATATATATATATATTTAATTTATTTCTATTTGCAAAAGTTGAACAAATGCATTAACTTATGCTTAACAAAAAAGCAGACAAAAAACAACAGAAAAAACCGCAACTGAAATTATAATTAAACTTTTTGCCGCATTTGAACTTCAATTCGATGCGATTCAAGGCAAACGAGTTGAAAAGATTTTATTTTTGTTTTTAACTTTTTATTTTTGTTTATAAACAAGGCAAAGCGAGAACTCGTGCCAGAGATTTGTTATTGTTGTTGCCAAAAAAAAAAAATGAATGCCGCGAGAAAAAAGCATGTCAGAAGCAGCGGCAACAACAAAAAATATAGAAGCTTTTTCAAACTTACAGAACCGGTCAATAAACGAGCGAGAGAGTGAGAGAGAGATACCGAGAGGTAGACGATATTTAAAGACGATGACATCTTTAATTGATTTGTTAGAAATGCACTTTGGCAATGGAAATGCATTCAGCAGCAAAGTGGGTCAAATGGTGGTTGTAGCCAACACCACCTGCTTTGGTTCAATGCACCATCAATGGAAATGGAAATGCATAAAAAAATGTGTTTGTAATTAGCAAAGGAACATATTTAATGTCAAACCAAGGTATATTGACCACGACAACAGTTCTTTGAGACCCGCCGCAACTCAACCTAAGTAAATAATGTCGGTGACTGTATTGCATAGTCTGGAGATACCTTAACTTTAAACAGGTGGTGTCGCGGTGTTTCTCTCTATTTGTTCTCATTGTTGTTTATAATTGTTTTATTTTTCTTTTGTTCTGTCATGTGTTGCGGCTCGTAGTTTTCAATGAATATCACACAGTTACAACAGTACGTGGTAGATAGGCAGTCGAATGGACTACAGCATTTCCTTAAGAGTGTTTCGTTTTATATAAATACGTATGCAGCGCAGCATCGACAGGCTTGTTTCATTTATCATATATGAACAAAAGTGTTTTAACTGTAGGCAGGAACTTAAACAGGTCTAAGTCGGATTGTAACTGCTGAATTTGTTCATAAACCTCAACTTCATTTGCTATGCTTAATATATATAAATATCATACGTATTTAATTTCTATATCTATTATAAATGGGCGCAAAACATCTAAAATTAAATGAAAATTAAAAAAATTCTAGCTTAACTATATATAAAAGATTTTAGACTGTTCAATAAGATACGCTATTCAGCATATTTTGTAGCTCCCATGGGCATACGGTACTTTATTTTATAAAGAATGACCTAATTTTTATATACTAAATAAAATCAGACAAGCATTAAGTGATGCTTAAGCACTCAAAGAATATATAAAATAATAAAATGCCAATAAAGTACTTTAGTTAAATGTTTCGACTATTTAAAGTGTTGACACTGTAGAGAGGAATTTTTTGCCTGCGTTTACTGTAGGAGAGCCTACCTCATTATTCATTCAGGAAAGTAGTCGGTCAGGTTTTATTCTTCTTTCTTTATTCTTTTTTATTTGGCTTCTCTTCGGCTTCCGCTTTGTGGAGTACGCCCCAAGAATTTAAAACCTGCTGCAGCGCCCCTGCCTCTATATAGACGTTGGCTACAAATTAGCGGGAACTGCCAGCGTGGCATCCGCGTGGTTGAAAATAGAGTCGCTGGCCCGACTCTTAGCTAAGAGCTCGACAGCCAGACAGTCGAGCAGATGCATAAAAATAAAATATGTCAAAGCAACGCAAATGGGATTTGGCTTGTGCTGAAGGCGGGCAAATATTCCAGGCCAGATGCAGCTAATTCCTAATCAAAAAGTTCTAAATTGTTTATTTTAAATCGTGTTGTGCGCTCCATTTGTCAAACAGATCTGTTTGCCTTGCTGTAAATCTGTTTATATATCATTTTCTTGACCTAATTTGTCAAACGATTTTCAACTTCACTTCGCAAATGACTTTCAAGTTCTCTAAAGCTTTTGAAAAATTTGATTTTCTATTTTTTACGACAGTTTTCCCACAGTTTTTCACAGTCGTTGACGTCTGTTGATTTGCCACACACATTTTCCTATGCTTAGTGACCTTATTTTTTGATTTTTTTGGTTCTCTACTTCGAGTGTCGTAATGCATTTTCTTTCTTTTCCCCCTTTTTCCGCCAGTTGCCTTTGTTTGCATAATTAATCAATATTGTTTCTATCATATTACTCTTTATTTCTCTGTTTTTGGGGGCGTTTTATTGTCTATTATATTTGTTTTGTTATTTGTGGGGGCGTATTATTGTGCGATCAGCCTTTTTTTAATGGAAGTCTTGATAAATAAATTTAATTAAACAAATTTTGTTTATTATGTGATATGAAATTGTGAATCATTTGGTAATGTGAATAAGTGGAAACTTCTATAAAGTTTATATTAAATAAAGTCAATGATGAAGCTTGAAATAAAAATTCTACGGGAAAATAAAAAAAAAATAAATTTTTATCTTTTATTTGAATGTTTTGTGACAATATCAGAAAATAAAATAATGTTTGTGAGCAAAATCCCTAAACCTTGCTTTTATATAAATGCTGTATATTATGTTATAATCTATCCAAAAATATCAATCTTTACAATATAAAGAGATAAATGTCTGATGATGACTACTTATCAAAGAAAATTTTCTCTTTATCTAGAGTA